CTATTTCTTCACATTTTATCAAGAGGTTTATAAACTAATCTGAAATGGTAAAAATTCATTTTGTTTTCAATTTCTTTCTGCTGTAAGCTGCTCAAGAGCTGTACATAATGAGAAGGGAGAGCAACAACCTGGCCTGATGCCCAGCTGGGAGCAGCCAAGTTCACCTAAAAAGGACTTGATGCTCCAAATACTTAAAAAAGAGGAAAAAAAAGAGCTGGAGGTGGGGGGAAGGAAGATCTGGAAATATGCCCAAGGGTAGTAGTAAAGAAAGTAAATTCAGCCTCAGGGTGGGATAGAGGCCCAGCTGCTATCAATTTGATGGCTCATTATCTTCCCTAACCTCAGGACATTCAGTTAGGCAGCAGGAGGAAAAAGCACCTAATACAGCAAGGCAAGGAGCCAAGGTTGTGGTTGGGTTAGGTTTCTGCCCACAATGCCAGCTTCTCACGTGGAGTGCGAGTTTTAAGTCCCAGATGCTTCCAGTCAATGTGTCAGGATTTCTTTCATCCTGCATGATGTGGGAGACTTGAACCAAGTTCCAGGATCCTGGCTTTGACTTGGCCCAGCCCTGGTTGTTACAGCCATTTGGAGAGTGAACCAGTAGATGAAGATCTTTCCCTCTGTCTCTCCTACTTTCTCTAACTCTCCCTTTTCATGATGGCCTAGTGGCTAAATCCTTGCCTTGCATCCACCAGGTTCCCATATGGGTGCTGGTTCATACCCTGAGTACTCTATTTCCCATCCAGCTCCCTGCTTGTGGCCTGGAAAAACAGTAGAGGATGACCCAAAATGTTGGGACCCTGCACCCGCATGGTAGACACAGAGAAATTTCCTGGCTTCTGGCTTCAGATCGTCTCAGCTTCAGCCATTGCGGCCACTTAATAAGTTAACCAGCGGAAGAAAGAACTTCCTGTCTCTCTGTATGGTTGCCTTCCCAATTTAAAAAATGATAATAAATAAAAATAAAAGAATGATGGAAATAGAGAAATGCAACACAAAACTGTCTTTTGAAGATAATGTTATAAGCTAAGTGCACAGATCAGCTTCATTGGATGGTAATTTGAGGGTCTGGGCGGACAGATCAGTACCTGTAACTCTACAGACCTGAAGACACAATCTTACAACATTAGCACTACCTTCAACTGCTTTTCATCACATGTTTAAACTCAAGAACCCATTTTTTTCCTATTCTCTTACCCTCCCTCCATCCATGCACACTACACTAGCATCCTGAATTTCTTTTCTCCAAATGCACCACATTTCCAATCTTCCAAAGCCCTGTCTGTGCTGGTTCCTACCTGGTTTTCTACCTCATTTCCTACTTTTTCTTCACAACTGAGGTAAAATGTAACCTTCTCTGACTACCCACTCTATTCAAAACTTTCCATTGTCACTTACAGCTTCAGAGTCATAGACACATGACTGAATTTGGTTATGTAATTTACTACCTGTACAACAACTGTGGTATCAGCCTGCAACATAGCCTCTAATAATTCCTACTTTGTCTGATTATGTTTTGTGCTGCTATACTGAGAGCTGCAGGCTGGGTAATTTTTTTTTTAATTTTTATTATTTTTTTTATTGGAAAGGCGGATATACAGAGAGGAGAGACAGAGAGGAAGATCTTCCATCCGATGATTCACTCCCCAAGTGAGCGCAACAGCTGATGCTATGCCGATCCGAAGCCAGGAGCCTCTTCCGGGTCTCCCACACGGGTACAGGGTCCCAAAGCTTTAGGCCGTCCTTGACTGCTTTCCCGGGCCACAGGCAGGGAGCTGGAAGGGAAGCGGGGCTGCCGGGATAGAACCGGCGCCCATATGGGATCCCAGGCGTGCAAGGTGAGGACCCCAACCACTTGCGCCACCGCGTCGAGCCCCAGGCTGGGTAATTTTTAAAGAAAAGAAATTGATTTCTCCTAGTTCTGGGTGCTGGGAAATCTATGACCAAGCTAGCAGCATCTGGTAAGGGCCCTTGTGCTGCATCACCCCATGGAGAAGGCTGAAAAGAGGCCAAAAAGGGAACAAGAGGCAGAGAAGTAGGAGGGACATGCAAAAACAACCGCACTCAGCATCTAGTCCTTCAAAATGAGCCTTCATCCGTTCATGAGGGTAGAGCCTTTTTTCATCTAGATACCTCTCATAAAGCCCCAAAGCTGCACTGTGGATTCAGCTGCCAACATAGGAGCCAGCATCATGGTGCAGTGAGTTGAGCCACAGCTTGTGATGCCAGCATCCCATACTGGAATGCCAGTTGGAGTTGTGGTTTCTCTGCTTCTTATACAGCTTCCAGCTGACGTGCCTGGGATGGCAATGAAAGATGGTCCAAGTGCTCAGGCCACTGCTACTCATGTGGGAGACAGCAATAGAGCTCCTGGCTTTTGGTTTCAGTCTGGCCCAATTTGGGCAGTGAATAAGCATATAGAAGATTCTCCCCTTACCACCCCTCCTCCCAATCTTTCTCTCCTTGTCTATGTCACTCTTTCAAATACACTTTTTTTTTAAAAGTTTCCAGCACATGTTTTCAGGGACACTCAAGCCCAAGAACTCCTAGCACCACTCTCTCCCAAACAACAGACAGTGCGTGTGACTAACAAACAATCTATCACCAGGGATCACGTTATAAAGGATGTTACAGCTTCCATGTTGGGCTTTCATGTTCCTTCTCTCTCTCTCGGGAATGTCTTGTTCAGGGGAAAGCCAGCTGCCTAGCTGAACAACCTTATGAAAAGGTCCTTGTGGCAAAGAACTAAACCCGCCAATACACATTAAGTGAGCTTGAAAGCAGGTTGCCCAGCCTCAATACAACTCTAGAAGCCTGCAGTATCCATTAACAGTTTAATTGCAGCTTTTTAGAGATTCAACACCAAAACTATCTAGCTAAGTTTCTCTTGAATTCTTGATCCACAGAAATGTGATGTGATAAACATTTGTTTTAAACCCCTAAGTTCTGCGATAGTCTGTTACATGACAAATAGCTAATACACCTTGAGTAGGGATGATAAAAGCCCAAGGTTAATGGTAACAAAAGCTAAGTCCAAGTCCAAGTAATGATGCTTAGCAACAGAACATCTTTGCGCAAAGCGTTTAATTCTCTGAGCCTTAGTTTCTAATTCATAAACGAGAAAACTTGGTGGGACTACAGTTAACAAATACTGCAAAGGAAAAAGCATACCCTGAGACCAGAACAAAATATAACCAAGCTAAATATTAAGTCTACAGCAAAGACAAATCTAATCCCTAAGGAACTAAGGTGCAGACTCTATAAGCAGAAAATTCACTTAGTAAGAGTTTTTAAAAGACAACTTCTCATGGTCTTTGAATTAAGGATCAGACTTCTTTCTAAAAACAAACAAACAAAAAAGATATAGAAAGAGGCTTATTTTCAAAATTGGCATTACAAAGAGAGAGAGAGGAAGAGAGAAAGAAGGGGAGAGGGGGAGAGAGACAGAGAGAGGAGAGATATCTTCCACCCACTAGTTCACTCTCTAGTAGGCTGCAACAGCCAGTACTGAACCAGGCTAAAGCCAGGAACTTCTTCCAGGTCTCCCATGTGGGTACAAGAAACCAAACACCCAAGCCATTTTCTGCTGGTTTTCTCAGGCTATTAGCAGGTAGCTGGACTGGAAGTAGAACATCCAGGACATGAACCAGTGTCCATATGAAATGTCAACATCCCAGGTAGCATCTTTACCCACTAGACCACAAAACCAGCTCCCACAGTTCTAAGCACCCAAAAGATATGAGAAAAAAAATGCAAAGTGTAACTTTCTTATCTAGAAGCTATATACATTTTTCAGACCTAAGAAATCAAGATCATGTAGTCTACAAGCAATCTAAAAAGCCAAAGGTCTACTCTTTTTTTTTTTCACTCAAATCCTTTATACTGCCATAGGTCCCATGCCTGTTGCAGAGTGTGGTTCACTGCAATAGCCATGCTCAGAACTGTTCTCCTTTCCAAAGAAAGGGAGGTACCAATATGGTCAGACTCAGTCAGGTATTTAAGTAATATATACATATTTCAGGGTACACTAATGTGGCATAGGTGTTCTTAGATATTAAAGAGAATAAGAGGGCCAAGCGCAGTGGCCTAGCAGCCAAAATTCCCACCTTGAACGTGCCAGGATCCCATACAGGCGCCGGTTCTAATCCCAGCAGCCCCACTTCCCATCCAGCTCCCTATCATTGGCCTGGGAAAGCAGTAGAGGATGGCCCAAAGCCTTGAAACCCTGCACCCATGTGGGAGATTCGGAAGAGGCTCTGGGCTCCTGGCTTCGGACTGGCTTAACGCCAGCTGTTGTCGCCGCTTGGGGAGTGAATCAACGGACAGAAGGTCTTCCTCTCTGTTTCTCCTTCTCTCCATACATATCTGACTTTGCAATAAAAATAAATAAATCTTAAAAAAAAAAAAAAAAGAACGCAGGAAAGGCAAAGAAGAAAGAAAATGTAAAGTCATACAGCCTACAGCAGTAGGATGATCTTCAGTTACGTCCAGCTGTGCTTCAGCACCATGAAGAATTGTGAGGGACAGTCAGTCATTCTGGGGAGGCAGTAATCTCCCAGCCAAGCCAGTATAGAAATGATCAGCCTAGCCATCAGGGCTCTAGCAAGGCTGTCCACACAATACAGAGCATGAGTGGGTCAAAAGCTCTCTCTCTAGCCTCCTCCTAGCATTTAACTAGCACTGAATGCCATGATGCTGAAGCCCAGAGACAACCGAGTGGTCATCACGTCTCCTTAGGACTACGGCAGTCTCTCATGTCTCCTCAGTGCATCAGTACAGCCCCGCATGAGAGTGCCTAATAGGGACAACGAATGTGTGCTGAATCTGAACAGCAGTGTGTACATTTTCTTTACCTGAAAAGATGGACAGACCCAGACCATAAAACATCCTGACAACGTTCCACACAAAATGTGTTTTCCTTAATATAAACTATGTATGGACTTCTACCACTTGATTCTTAAAAATACAGATGGACACCTTAAATGAATCATACAACTTACACATAAAGATCCATAGGAAATTCCTTCATCATGTGTGTTACAATAAACTCCACCATCAGGTCTGAAACAGGAAAAGAGAAAAATCAGATCAACTAGAAAGAGATTTCACGTTGGAAAGAAGCATCTGCATGGACCCGGTACTGATGCTGAAGAGCACCCACTAGCTGTATCTAACTCAGATTCACTTACATAATAAATCACCTTTTCTAATTCTTTCACCACCTGCTACTAGCAATAAGATTAGTTTACTCCCCTATTCGAAAGTACCTAGGTTCGGGCCCGATGGCGTGGCCTAGCAGCTGAAGTCCTCACCTTGAACATGTGGGATCCCATTTGGGCGCTGGTTCTAATCCCAGCAGCTCCACTTCCCATCCAGCTCCCTGCTTGTGGCCTGGGAAAGCAGTCGAGGACGGCCCAAAGCCTTGGGACCCTGCACCCGCATGGGAGACCCGGAAAGAAGTTCCTGGCTCCTGGCTTCAGATCGGCATAGCATTGGCCATTGCACTCACTTATGGAGTGAATCATCGGACAGAAGATCTTCCTCTCTGTCTCTCCTCCTCTCTGTATATCTGACTTTCCAAAAAATAAATAGATCTTTTAAAAAAAAAAGAATACCTAGGTTCATATAAAAGAGAGGCTTCAATGTTTAAGCATTTCAAACTGTGACACGAATGCAAAATGCCAGAGATAACTCATATTTGGATACAAGAGCAATAAGGCAAGTAAAGGAAAAATTATGGATGACATCCACGTAATCAGAACTCACTACAAATCTCTATCGGTCAACATATTTTCACTTCCCTGCTCAGTTTGAAAGATACGACTGTGTGGTCTTGGATCAATAGAGGCTTTTTATGCACTTAATTACTGTGTATAAAATCAGGTAGATTTAGAAATTGGGGCTGAGTATCTAAGTTAAATGAAATTAAAAATTCAGGGGCCTGGCAGTGTGGCCTAGCGGCTAAAGTCCTTGCCTTGAACGCGCCAGAATCCCATATGGGCGCTGGTTCTAATCCCGGCAGCTCCACTTCCTATCCAGCTCCCTGCTTGTGGCCTGGGAAAGCAGTCGAGGACGGCCCAAAGCCTTGGGACCCTGCACCTGTGTGGGATACCTGGAGGAAGTTCCTGGATCCTGGCTTTGGACTGGCATTGCATCGGCCATTGTGCTCACTTGGGGAGAGAACCATCGGATGGAAGATATTCCTCTCTGTCTCTCCTCTCTGTATATCTGACTTTCCAATAAATAAATAAATCTTTAAAAAAAAATAAGAAATTATATTCTCCTCTCTGTAAATCTTTCCAATAAAAATAGTAAATGTTAAAAAAAAAAAAAAGTTCAGTTTCCCTGATGAAAAGACACATTTCTGGGAAGACAATTATCCAAGAAAAGGCTTCGTACCTGGCAGTCCTATCAGTCTCATTCAGCTTAATTTACTTGGATGCAAATGAGGGCAGAAAGAGCAGGTCATGGGGGCTGGAGCAGTGGTTACCCTAGTGGCCAGGAAGCCCAGGCACTTCATCTGAATGTCCAGATTTTTTTTTTAATTTATTTATTTTTATTGGAAAGTAGAGTTACAGAGAGAAGGAGAGACAAAGAGAAAGATCTTTCATCCACTGCTTCACTCCCCTGGAGTGAAACAATCAGAGCTGAGCCAATCTGAAGCCAGGAACCAGAACTTTCTCCGGGTCTCCCACATGGGTGCAGTGTCCCAAGGCTTAGGCCATCCTCTACTGTCTTCCGAGGCCACAAGCAGGGAATTGAAAGGGAAATGGAGCAGCCAAGGTTGGTGCCGGAACCCATATGTGATCCCAGCACATGCAAGGTTTAGCCACTGGGTTACTGTGCCAGGGTCTAAAAATCTAGATTCTGTACCTGGAGTGGCTCCTGACACCAGCTTCATGCTAATGCAGACCCTAGCAGGCAGCGCTGGCGATTCATATGATTGGGTCCCTGTCGCTCACGTGGAAGATGTAGCTAAGTGCCCAGCTCAGCATTTGGGAGTGAGCCAATGTATGGGGACTATCTCTCTGCCTCTCAAATTTAAAAAAATTGAAAACTTAAAAGTTCTGCTACGTCTAAATCTTGAGCTTCAAGCACCATGGCCAAATGACACATCAATCAAGGTGAAGTAAGTGAGTTAAGAATCTGAAACCCTGAGCAAGGGTAAGCTATTTTATAAACTTAAATCATGTATCAAGTATAGACATATTCCCTTGTCTCCCTGGAAAGATTTTTCCTTTGAAGAGAATACTCCGCTTCCTAATTTTTTTTAAAGATTTATTTATTTATTGGAAAGTCAGATATATAGAGAGGAGGAGAGACAGAGAGGAAGATCTTCCATCAGATGGTTCACTCCCCAAGTGAGCGCAATGGCCGATGCTATCCCGATCTGAAGCCAGGAGCCAGGAACTTCTTTCTGGGTCTCCCATGCGGGTGCAGGGTCCCAAGACTTTGGGCCGTCCTTGACTGCTTTCCCAGGCCACAAGCAGGGAGCTGGATGGGAAGTGGAGCTGCCGGGATTAGAACCAGCGCCCATATGGGATCCCGATGCGATCAAGGCAAGGACTTTAGCCGCTAGGCTACGCTGCCAGGCTCGAATACTCCAGTTTCATAGAGCACTCAAATTCATCAAGGGTGCCTGACCAAATGTAATTATAAACATGGTGTCTTGGGCCAGGAAAGAAACAAGACTAACAACTTCTCTGAGTAAGCAGCACTTACCCTAGCCACAAATACCTATCACTATCCTGGGAAAAAACCAACTATTTCAACGATACTCACTCACCCAGTACAGCACAGACTAGAGGACGGCAGGGAAGGTTCTTATCTGCTGCCTTCTTCCTGTGTCTCATGGGCTTCACACACATACGTAACAAATTTTAAAAAAAGAAAGAAATTAGTAGACATCTGAACTAAGATCCATCGGCTCACCATCATGTTTCTCAGGCAAATATCACCTCAGAGGAACTACCTTTCTTTCCACATTTTTCTAGAAACACAGCGGAATAGAAATGGAACAGGGAGGAAATATAAATGCTTCTCAGTTGCCAACACAGCAAGGCCACAGCCCCAAGGGCACTGTCATATACTACAATAGGAAAGCTGGTGTTTTCATTTTGAACTTATCTGTACTGTGTAAGAGGGCAAAATTAAAAAGGTACACTGGTATTTTCGATTGACAGTAAAGTAATAACAGGCACCAGTCATCGAAGTTACAAAAAAACATGGGAAGTTTCAACTCTGTATCTTACAATATCTTTTTAACATACTTCCAAGCTTCAGGGAATTCCCTGATCTCCCATGCTCTATTTCCACATTTTTCAGATGAATAAATCAAAGACCTGATCTCAGCCAATGAAAGATTTCAGTGCATTTTGAGAATAAAATACTTCGACCCATCTCCTTGCTGAAGTGTGTATGTTTTTATTTGGAAGGCAGAAACAAAGAGAGACAGATAGAAATAACAGATTTGTCATTTATTGGTTCACACCCCACATGCCTAAACAGTTCAGCTAGACCCGATCAAAGCCAGGAACCCAGGGCTCAGTGTCGTGGCATAGCACATAAAGCTGCCACCTACAATGCCAGCATCCCATGTATTTGCCAGTTTGAGTCCTGGCTGCTCCACTTCTGATCCAGCTCCTTACAAATGGCCTGGAAAGAACAGTTAGAAGATGGTCCGAGAGTCTAAGCCACCTAGGAAGACTTGAATGAAGCTCTTGGCTTTGGTCTGGCCCAGTGCTGACCATTATTGACATCTGGGGAAGTGAACCAGTAGATGAAAGAACTGTCTGTCTCTGTAACTCTGACCTTCAAAATAACAAAGAAACAAGGAAATACGTTTTTTTAAGATTTTTGTTTATTTTATTGGAAAGGCAGATTTACAGATAGAAGGAGAGACAAAGAGAGAAAGATCTTCCACCCACTGGTTCACTACACAGTGGCCACAACCACTGGAGCAGAGCCAATCCAAAGCCAGGAGCTTCTGTCTGGCCTCCCACACGGGTACAGGGTCCCTTGATGCCCCAGGCCATCCTCTACTGCTTTCCAAAGCCACAAGCAGGGAGCTGGATGGGAAGTGGAACAGCCGGGATACGAACTGACAACCATATGGGAACCCAGCACTTAAAAGGCATGTAATTTTAGTTGACCCATAAATAAAATATTTTCTTTCTTTTCTTTTTTAAATCCCGGAACCCAGAACTCGCTCTGCATCTCCTTCATAGATAGCAGGGATCCAAATACTTGGACCATCTATTGTCTGATGCCTCCCAGGTTACAAATTAGCAGGAAGCTGGAATCAGCAACAGAGCCAAGTCTTGAAACCAGGCATTCCAATATCGACTGCAGGTGTCCCCATGACACCTTAATGTTTGTGCCACAAGATCCACCCTGAACCTATGCTACTGATGGGCATATGTTTGGCCTGGCTTTAAGACACCTGCACCCCAGGTTGGAAAACCAGTGTTTAATACCCAATTCCTGGTACTGACTGCAGCAGAGGATGGCTCAAGTGATTGAGTTCCTGCCACCTATGTGGAAGATCTGAATAGTGCCAGCTCCTGGCTTTGGCCCACCCTAGTTCTAGCCATTGCAGGCATCTGAAAAATGAACCAGTGGATGGGAATTTTCTCTGTAATGTCTCCATCTCTCTCTCACTCTCACTCTCTGTTTTAAACAAAAAAAAAAAAAAAGAAAGAAATCTATTAATGATATAATTCAATATTACTGTCATGGGTACATACTTACTGATCTTTGTACTCTGTTTTAAGTTTAGCTCATGACACATAAAAAAACCCCAACAGGCACAGGTCTATTGAACAACAGTAACCCAAGAGCTCTTTGCCACAATTTTCCACTCACATTTGTTCTAGATCAATTTTACCCCAGTCCTAACGACACACAAAAAATTCCTCTACGAATAAAACAAGAAGGAAAAATTACACCTACCATTCTATGCAAGTTTACTCGAAAATTCATGTTGTCATCATGCAAAAATGCATTGGCATATTGATCCTAACAAAAATACAGAGAAACAAGAGTGAGACCTTTATTTAAGAAACCTAATTTGTAATCTATCACACTTCCTACAAATCCTTGGACTTTTAGAACTACTTTCTAGTCACAGTTGGAAAGCTAATGGGGATATGCTCTTGCCTTTGTGTCAAGCCCTACTTAAGACCTGAGATTTTACTTGCATGTAATTTCCCAGTATTTCCCTAACTGGTCAAAAACCTCTAAGCAAATGAAAAATAGTAAGAATCAGAGCTAAGGCCTGTGCTCTGCTGGAGATGAGCTCCGCAGAGAAGGAAAAAACCACCACACAGGCAACGCGAACCCAGGCACAACTCTGTCCATGGCTGGTTTGACAGAAAATCAACAACTTCTCACTATGAATTGGTAACATCTTTTGGCCCTTTCCCAATGCCTTTTCTGAAGATTTGACAAACCTACAGAATCCAGTTACCAGCAACTGCTACCATTTGTGAAAAACAACTCCTTTAAAGATTTTCTTAGAAAGCTTATGGAAAGCAATTACACCAGGCCCACTGCTAATAAGCAGCTCTTTAGATAAGTTACCCCTAACCTTTCACAAAGGAAATCACCTATCCGCAGAGACAATGCAACAGGAAAGACCACAAATGAACCCTGGACCATCTACACCTTCCACCTGGACCATATACACTACTTTTTTTTTTTTGAGAGAGAGAGAGAAAAGAGTAGACTAAGGAACAGTGAAGGAGAAGGTTGCAGCTTTAAACTCAGCTCCACCCTGTGTGTCGGCAGGGTCCACAGTGAGGTGCATGAGCAAGAGGGCCTCCTCACAAGGCCCAAGCCTCTCCTCCCCGCAAAACCTCTTGTAACTCACCAAACCACAATCTGCCAGAACTCAAGACCTGCATGCCCCCTCGAACCATCCCCAGGATACCTCTTTTTTTTATTTTGCTGACTATGCAAAACACCCCATATGATCAGCTTCAAACACATGGTGCCATTTTTGTTCAAATATATATATATATTAAATCTCTGGTCCTAAATCTTCCAGGTCTCAATTATAGCAGCTATATCAGAACTCTTTATTAATTTATCCATTAAACGCTGATGGGGTTCTACTTTATGCCAGACACAGAAAGCACAGTGAGAAAGGAAGCAGTATCCCCTGGTGCCAGGACAGACATTCCAGTGGCCAGAAATAGACAAGACAAAGTATCAAGATTTTTACTCCCAAGTTATAAGCTCCTGAAAGTCAGGAGAATAAGAATTTGGGAGAGTGAATGTGGGAAGACAAGAAGAGATACCGCTTGGTAAAAAAGTAATCAGAAGGCTTGTTGGACCTACCTCTGCAATACATGTAAGGATGATCAGACAGAGCTTGCCGCTGTGCAGCCTGTGTTCATCTGTAACAAAAACATAATCTCTGTAAGTCATCCAGACCACATCTCAGCAAGCAATGAAGATGGACATTATAAAAAGGAACATACACACTCTTCCCCATCCCCCCAAAAATTCATGAATTGCAATTAACATACTACTAGTAGAATAATTCCTGCACCCTTTCTAGGCAAAAGAAATCCCCTGGAAAAAAATTCCCTCCAATCTTCTCACAGTCTGCTCAACAGCTAATCACTCATCCGAAAGCCATTTCACTCTATCTGGTCCCCATTTTCATAGTCCAATTCAGAGCTGTTCTCTGGTTCCAGACAGGTTCACTGCTTTCCTACCCATCGTCCACCAGTTACATGCACCACCAGCTATAGCCACCTACCACAGTATCTAGAAAACTCTCATGACTATTCACAGGAAATGGACAGAGAAATTAGAGAACATACAGGGTCTAGCCTATTTTCTCACCACACTGAAAATATTGCTTAGTGACCTAGAAGACCATAACCTCCTTATCATCTTTCATCCTGCCAAAATCATTCACTCAACACATACTGATATAGCATCTAACTCTGTGGCAGGCACTGGGCAAGGCACCTGAGACACAGCATGAACAAAGCATACAAAGCCCCCTAGCTTCACAGGAGGCAAGCTCAACAGTAGACCTCCTAGCCCCATATGGGATCCTGGCATGAGCAAGGCGAGGACTTTAGCCACTAGGCTACCGCACCGGGTCCACCAACATACATATCTATTAAAAGTATCTTTACAGGAATAAAAGGGTAGACAGATAATAAAGTCAAAGCATACAGCAAGTTGGAGACTGAGACAGCAAAAAAATTAACCAGTGAAGCCACACAGCAGCTGTTTTTTAAATGAAGTCTCCACTGGGTCCAACTGCTATGGCAAATATATAGTTTCTGTGATCCTAAAGGCTATCCTGCTATGGCAAAATATAGTTACTGTGACCTTAAAGGTTAGCCTGTCCTTGCAACTCTCAACTCTTTAGAACATAGTACATGTAGTTGCTTTGGCTGCCTTCATAATTTTTTTTTTAAGATTTTTATTTTTATTATTTTTTTTCATTGGAAAGGCGGATATACAGAGAGGAGAGACAGAGAGGAAGATCTTCCGTCTGATGATTCACTCCCCAAGTGAGCGCAATGGGCCGATACTATGCCGATCCGAAGCCAGGAGCCTCTTCCGGGTCTCCCATGCGGGTGCAGGGTCCCAAAGCTTTGGGCCGTCCTCGACTGCTTTCCCAGGCCACAGGCAGGGAGCTGGAAGGGAAGCGGGGCTGCCGGGATTAGAACCGGCACCCATATGGGATCCTGGGCGTGCTAGGCGAGGACCTTTAACCTCTTGCGCCACCGCGCCACCGCGCCGGGCCCTGCCTTCATAATTTTTTAACTAGAGGAAATAGGGTGACTTTACTAACATCATGTATACTTTTGATTATTGTTTGATCACTTATGAGGTTGTAGAGCCTGCAGTTGTAAAGGGATTTAATGTTTGAAACTTTTGTCTTAGATTTTTATATTTTTTCTCTTTTAATGTATTTCTCTCATTAAGTGATGGATAAGTTATAGAATAAGAATTGTAGTAGGAATGTATTACTGAGTAAGATGTGTCGTCTACTGAGAAAATGTTGGCTGCAACATCAGAATGGATAATGCCCTGTCTTAAGGTGCAACTATCTGTAGAGTTATCTTTGGAAACATTTACTTGCCCATTGTAGAGCAGAAACCTAAATGGAGTAAACATGGCTCATTGCTAATTGCAGTTCTTTCCGTCTAACTCTTGCTTAGTTAACAAACTGTGTGGGCCTGCAAACCTAATGACCTTTGGTGCCAATACCCTAATCCCCATAAACCAAGGTCTCAGCCCTTTTCCCATGCATAATTCAAGGTAGGGGTCTGGTTGTCACAGGCAGCACCAAGGATGGGACCCAGACTTGAGGGAAGTATGTAGGGGCTAGCAAGCCGAGATAAGCAAAGAATGTGGGGTCCTCCCTCACTCGCCTCTCAAGCGGTTGTAAATTGTGCCCCCCTTGAAGCTATGTCAAAATGCCCTAAAAAAAGACTGTGTACTGCTTCTGTATAAATAAAGCGGACAGCTTTCTCGTGTGGTCCACAATGATGTTGGAACTGTAGTGGTCCGTCTCTTCTTTCTACGCCTACTTCACGCACCCTTCTCAAGCTCCGAACTCAGCTGGAGCTGGACTCCGGCATCCAACCTTGTCCTCTGTCACATTTCGACTGCCTGTTGGCAAAATCTAAACTCAGTGTTAAGTTTAGAGACACTGAGATTACCTAAACTATAATCAATCAGCCCTTCCATTATAGAGATAACAGAGTGACCAAGATAAATAAACTTACATAACCACTAAAGCTAAAAATGAGCCACAAGTGCCTGATCTACTGTGTTACATCAAGCAAAGCTAACAGTTTGTTTTCTGGGTCACATCCATGCAGTTTTTCTCCTTTGTGGTTGCTGCAGCATTCTTAGAGAAAGAAAGAGGCTATCCATTTCCACAAAGTGATGGCCTCAGGAATCTCTGACATACAAGCGTCTGGTCAGACTTGCCCGTACTTGCAGGGCCTAGAACGCTGAGCCACCCACAGCACTTACAGTGGACTGCTGTACATTCCACCTCACAACACGGACTCGCTCCGACTCTCTTTCTCTCTCCCTCTCAAGAGCACACTCACAGGCATGAGAGGAAGAAAAAAATCTGGGTTCACAAAGCAGAAATTTCCAAGGCCTAATGCAATATGATGTGCCTAAGTATGACACTGCTTAGAGGCTGCCTAGCCAGGCTCCTGTCAGCTTTGGCGATCCTCCATGTCCCATATTTATCTTTCGGGTTCTGTATCTGTCTGCCAATGTTTCCTTCTCACTCCAAAACCCCCAGCGCTGGCATTCCCTTCCTACAGAGGCCTTCCCTTCCAACTCCATTCTCTAGTTCCTGAAAATCCTTATACTAGAAACTTGTTAAGCTCATTTGGCACACAAGAGCCTTCTAAAGGATACATCATGCCTAAGGGAATCTTAACTCACCACACAAGGCATTCGTCTCCTCACAGAAACTAAAATGGCAAAAAACAATCATATTTTTAAAACAATTCTGCTGGTGCACATTTGTAGAAATAACTAGGTCTTTTCCCCCTTATGTTGAAATCTGTACTTTGTGGACCAAATTTAAGAACTCAAAGGACAAATGTTGCCACAGCAGATACAATGCCTTCCATCCATAACCAAGTGGCTGGATTCAAGTTCCAGCTCCACTTCTAATTCCAGCTTCCTGTTAAGAGCACTTGGAAGGCAGCTTCAGTACTTGGCTCCTACCACCCATGTGGGAGATTTGGATGGAACTGCAGGTTCCGCACTTCAGCCTGGCCCAGACCCAGCTGTTGGGGAGGGAACCAGTGGATGAAAGACATTCTCTGTCTCCTTCTCTGCCTCTCAAATCATATATATATATAGTCTATCACAAAAATAAATAAATAAATACAAATTGCAAACACTCACATAAATCTAGCATCAAACAAAATGAAATGTATAGTGGATATAATTTGCTAAGTGTTCTCTCAGTTCCTTCTCACTCCTAGCCCAATTAGTCTACTATTTTCCCACCAATTAAAGGCACATTAAAATCATAAACAGAGAAAAGACCAAAATCAGATTTTAAAAACCCTTGAAGTTTCCTAATACTCAATCTTTCCCCACTCTGCACTTCACGCACAGGTACTGACACATTCATCTGAAGTGCTAAGGAACACAGTGTCCCTCTGAATCTCACCCCCTCCCACTGGGCTCTGCACAACAGGTCTCTAATTCTCACCACAAGCTGGTGCTTTCAGTTCTTGTCCTCAGGAGGGAATTCCTTGAAGTGTGCTAACCCCCTCCGCCACCCCCCCTCCCCGCCCCATTCCCACATGTAAGTGTCTGCATCTACTTACCAAGATATGCTAAGACTTGCTGGGTTTTGAACAGACCAATTTTTTTCCTGTTCTATTTTTGAACACTCCCCTCCAACATCAGGTTTTCTCAACACCACCTAATTGCCTTCTAGCAGTGAGAAATTCCTGCTTTCCAGCAATCAAGACCAAGAGCCTGCACAGGAAGGGTCTACCTTGTCAAAGCTTCAAAATGCTACTCTCTGATTCTGGCTTCAGGTCACACCTCCCACTTCCCGAGCCCCAAAACAGCTTGCCTTACCTTTGGTGTCCTGCATGACAATTGAACTATACTTTAAGAAGGTTATTAGTAAATTGCTGGTCTGTACATCTGCATCCAGTGGGAGTTCCACAGAACTTATAACTGGAATAGAACAGATAAAGTGCACTTAGCCTATAACATGTTCCACATAACACTTCTACCCACATAACCCATTTGCCAGCAGGCAAAAAAAAAAAAAAAACTCTAAAGATTTTTCCATAACAGAGGGAGAACTAAGTGCTTATCTTCTTCTTTCTATTCTTCCTAATCTTCTAGAGCCCTTCCTAATTCCAAAATTAAGTCCAGTGACCTTCTGTCCCATTTAGGTCTAGCCTCTAAGAACATGGCTTTTCTTCCAGCATCCTAGCAAGGGTAGACTTCTGTTCCAGCTTCTAGGAGAGCAGAAGAGGTCAGGAGCTTTCTCAAAGGCACTGCCAGCACTACTTGGAGGGAAGATGTGTGTTGAATATAAATGAGACTTGCCTTGATGAGTCTCGTGCTTAAAACAAATGAAAATTCTTTCCTAATAAGAAGAAATCTTGCTCAAGTTTGGAGAACAAATCTTTCTGCAGGAAGCATCCAGGATGGAAGAAAAAAGAAGTTATGACACAAGAAAAAGTTACAGAACTACATTCCAATTCTACCCATAAATCCTGCTCTCTGAGTGGGAACTGGGAAGGGAAGCTAGGCTGCAGACAGATGGACAGCAGTGATTGGGAGAGCCTGGAACTAACTTCTACACACCCTGCTGCTATTTCCAAGGGTAGTCTCCCTCCCCATTCTCTGAGCTCCCCCCAAAAAACAATGAAGGATTCTCCTTGCCAGAACTAACTCACAGAGAACAGTATTTACACATACCTCCCAGGATCTTCAGACTGCAATTTAAAAGTTGCCTTAAGAGCTTTTCCAATGTCTAAGACAATGTACAATCAAAAGCAGGTTCAATATGGCCCAGATAAGCTGCAGAGTCTACAGCTTGCTGCTGTATTTTCAGCCATGAAGAGTCAGCTGAGTTTGGGGTATTACTCATAATATATATTCACAACTATAATGGATCCCTTTGGGGTTATTACAATGGATGCAGACAGTGCCTATTAACAATGGCAAATATTTGCATATTACAGATCCTTAATACATAGCAAGCACAGCAAAAAGCCTTCAGAAATGAGCATGCCTAGCCCTACGCTGTGCTCCCACAATTCAGCCCTCAAAAACTAAAAAAATCACAAATATATTTTTAGATTCAGTTACTAACATGTCTTCATTCATGCTATGACCTGAGACTATAATTTCAATCCAGAGCTCACCCTGAGGCTCAGAGGCCATAACCAGCCCTTCTACCAACTGAAAGAGGTATCTGACTGATGAGACTTTTTTCCCCACTCACTCACAGCAATAACTGGAGAACTTATATAATACGTAAAATATAGAAGTGTATGTATTTTTAGTTTACCAGAAAGTCCTCTCATGCCAAGGCTGAGTTGTCAAATGTCAAGCCTCAGCTGGGAAGAAATGCTACAGCTAAACTGCTGGCTTTGAAAAAGAATGGTTCCAGTGACACACCTTCTCTTATAACTGAGCTACAAAACACTACTATCATTAAAAATCAGAAGTTAAAAGCAAGGTTATAATAGCTAGGACCCCTACAGTTGAGGAGGAAGAAAATGAACAACTAGAAGAGAGACAGAACAAAATCCCTCACAAATTAAAATCTCTCACTCCCTGATCTTCGGCTGCACCATTCTTCGCAGCAGCTTTTGTCAAGAGAAACAACCATCTGAAAGTGGGCTGACTTGATCTTCCAACTAGAAAAAAATAAAAGCTCACTGGTTGTAGGTAAGTAAGCACAAATCCTGCCATTGCATAATCAAGTGTGTGGGTGGAAGTAGTCACAATGAACAGTTTGAAAGGCAGTTCTCTGAAACATCCAAAACCCAACCTCATATGGAATTCATATATATATACTGATATCCATGGTAACCAGGCAGGCTTAAAGGGAAAGTACAGTATTTTCATTGGATTATTCAATGACCTGAATAAACAGAGACAAGCAGGCAATCCTCACTACTTGCTCCTCCTCATTAAGATATTTTGGAATTTGGCCTCCAATTCTAAATAGATCCAACTTGCTACCACAAACCTAGATTGCACGGCAGCTCCCTGTCAGGCTACTGTACTGCCTAGACTGTCTAAAAATGCTGCAGTCAAAGGTACTACATGAAAACAGGAAGGAAGCAGAACAAGGGTGGGGGTCACTTTCCATACAAACAGTAAGCAGACAAAAGGGGTCAAGCTGGATTTCCTGTACCTCCTTGTCTACAATGAGGTCAACATTCAAGGTACAACATCAACAATGAATGTAGGTTATTTTTGGGTCAAGGTATTCCATCAAACATATTCATCCTACCATAAAACCAATTCAGGTAATATAGAATTGTGTGAAGCTAAACTGATAATTTTTTTCTGTTACCTTTTTCTAATATGGTAGCCATAAAATTTATAAAGGAAGATTTTTGTTGTTGTTAGTGCCTTTAAGGGGAAATTTTTTTTTCTCCATATATACACACACATATCATTCAGTAGGTCCAAGGATATGAAGTTTCTAATATTTTAAGGTTTCCTACAACATGCCTATTTCATTGAGTTTGACCCAATTTTAGACTTTTTAAAGGCAAGTTATGATGCCACAAGTTTTTTTGTTTGTGGTACAAAGATATTAGCACAATCTATGTAGACAGGTTTAGTGAGTCTTTTTCTCTTTTCCTTCTCCCTTTCTTCCTTCACCTCTCTCCTTCCTGCCTTTCATCTTTTTCCCTTCCATTTCTTAGTTCCTCAGATAAAAAGCTTAATATGTCACTGAAAAAGAACAAGAGGTTTGGGTCCGGCATGATAGCATAGCGGCTAAAGTCCTCGCCTTTAACGTGCTAGGATCTCATGTGGGCACCAGTTCTAATCCCAGTGGCTCCACTTCTCATCCAGCTCCCTGCTTGTGGCCTGGGAAAGCAGGCAAGGACGGCCCAAAGCCTTGGAACCATGCACCCATTTGGGAGACCCAGAAGAGACTCCTGGCTTCAGACTGGCATAGCTCTAGCTGTTGTGACAGTTTGGGGAGTGAACTATCGGATGGAAGATCTTCTCTGTCTCTTCTCATCTCTGTATATATATGCCTTTGAAATAAAAATAAATATAAATCTTAAAAAAAAAAAAAGAACAAGAGGGTTGGCACTGTGGCACATAAAATTAAGGCACCATCTGCAGCATCCAGCATTGCATATGGGCACCTGTTCTGGCATAGTGTGTTAAGTCATCACCTGCAATGCCAGCATCCCATATGAGTGCCGGTTCAAGTCCTGGCTGCTCCACTTCGGGTCTAGCTGTCCACTAGTGCACGTGAGAAAGCAATGGAAAGTGAATCAATATCTTGGGTCCCTACAGCCACATGAGAGACCAGCATGAAGTTCTTGGCAGCCTGGCTCAGCTGTGGCCCTTGTGGCCACTTGAGTGAGTCTGCTATCCCCTTTTCCCTCTGTATCACTGCCTTTCAAATTAAAATATATATATATTTGTTATATATATACTTTATATATATAACAATATATAACATGTAACAATATATAATAATATATGTTATATAATATATATTATATATATTATATACATTATATATATATATTTGTTGTTTAGAAAAATGCTTTACAAGTTAAAAAAGCAAAAAGGATGCACAATCTTCAATATCCCTGGAACTCCCAATTACAATACACTCTCAGTCTGACAGTTCTTCTTTTTTTTTCCCTCAAAGATTTACTTATTTTCATTGGAAATTCAGATATACATATAGGAAGAGAGACAGAGAAAAAGATCTTCTGCCCATTGATTCACTCCCGAAGTGACCACAACAGCTGCTGCTGAGCTGGTCCGAAGCCAGAAGCCAGGAGCTTCTTCTATATCTCCCATGTAGGTGCAGGATCCCAAGGCTTTGGGTCATTCTCAACTGCTTTCCCAGGCCACAAGCAGGGAGCTAGATGGGAAGTGGAGCTGCCAGGATTAGAACCAGCGCCCACATGGGATCCTTGAGCATGCAAGGCAAGCACTTCAACCTAGACTACCACACTGGGTCCCCAATCTGACATTTATAAGTGAAGCAGGGGGAATAGACACTCAACAGTGACTGAATCCAGGTTCCCTTTTTGTTCATTTATTCAGCAAATATTTACAAAGCAATTGCCATGAGAGGCACTATGCTGAACACACAGACATAGATGGTTCCTGTGGTGATTCTATCGTCTGGGTCCTTTGCAGCCACACTCACTAAGCTTAGGCAAAGCATTGTTTCTCCCCACCTCAGTTCCCTTGTCTGTCAAATGGTAACGTGAGACAGCACCACTAGTCAACACTTGCTTCATTGCGTCACTAATACAGAGTGATATTTCTTACAGAACATCTCCTCGGGGCCTCACTTGGACCCCATGGCTTGCAAGACAAGCTTCACAGCCCCCTTAGGCCCCTTTCAGATCCAGCATTCCAGGGATCTACCACCATTTTCTGAGGAACACAGGTTAGCATTCCATAGCTTCTCACACATAAAAAAGCACTTGACTACCATTTCCAGAGTTTTCTTTGCAACTTCAAGTGTCCTGAGGGAGAGTACTACACACTTATTTCTTAACCGAAATAATTAACAACTATGTACTTGGTTCAGCGTTGCTCTGCTCACCCTGAGAGGCCCACAATTAGATGAATCAAGAACACAAAGCAGGTGGTGAGCTCACCATCAGAAGACGGGGGAGTGGTCCCAAGTGGTGTGACTGGGGTTGTTGGAGCAGGACTGACAGGGGCCGTCACCAAGCCCATTTCCGGATGACTCTGAAAGAGGATACAGACGGGTAAGAAAGCACTAAGTCCAGTCCTCCCTGAGTATCCTCTGTAAAATATCCTTACTAGCATTTCTGGCCTAATTAGAAAGCTCACTGAGGAAGGTCTTCTTGTGCATCTAAGTCCCATCAGCATCTGAAGCTTGCCAATCTCGAACAAGAAGCTCTGTGGGCCAGCTTTCTTTAAGCAATTATGTTTACATTATATAACTTGTTCTTCAGACCCATATGAATAAATAACTGGAATAAACAAATCCACAAAATTATTCTACAAAAATAAGGCATTTGCAGTTCTCTCCAGTTTGGGGGAAAGAGACTAAACTCACTGACACACTCCATAGGCTGTTCCAATTATCATAATTGACTAATAGTTGTAGAAGAAACAAAGGAGATTCCAGGAACCATGACAAGAGCAGTGGAAACGACAGCCTTCCAAGTCCCCAACAAACAGAATGTGTGGGACAGAAACACAGAGAGTGGCAGACACCAGGAAGGCCCCAAACAGGTGACTTCTCTGTTCTTGACCTCCCCTAGCCTATCCGCCAGATTAGCATTGTCATTGGAAAGTGAAACTGCAGAGTGGCTCTTCTTGCCTTACACACAAAAACCAGCCAATGTCCGATGGAGTAGATTTCCAAATCAGCCCAGATTTTTAAACAAGATTTTTCCATTAAAACTAGAATCAGTGGATTCCATAGGAATCTGCCCTTTAAGGCAAAGGCACAAGCAAACTTTCCTCCAAAAGAAATCTACATACATATTTTATACAGTGAACCTTAAAGGTAAAAACACTATGAATTTTTCAAGACAGCTTTCCTGAACTTCAGTTCTCAGCCTATTTTAGCTCCCTCCTGTGCAGGCTACTGGGGAAATCCCTCAGGCATGTGACCCCCCTCACTTAGAATTCCACGGCTTCCTGCTTTTAACATTTGCAGATAATTTTTTCTGTTAAAAGCTAACCTTTTGCTGGACAAGATATTTTTCACTTTTCTAGAAATTGGTGAGATAATCAGTTAAGCGACTTGGCCTATTTTACGTCTGATTTTAATTCTACTATGGTTTAGAAAAAAAGAAAGCCTAATATAAAAATCCAGATGGCAGATAATGCCAGGGGATTTCTAGGGAGCAAAACGAAGCAATCATGACTCATTCAGGTTAACAGGATTAGCAAACTGGTCAAAACCATCAACTTGGCCACTCACGAGACCCCCTACGTCAGCACCAGACAGAAACACACACCCCTGAGGACGGCACAAGGCACTAATGTCACTAGCTCCTGCGAAGGCAAAGCAGGGTTTAGACCACACAGTCACAGATGCTTCTTCTTTCCCTTGGAAATAAGACACATTCTAAATATCAGCCCAGTCATCTACTTTCATCAAAGTTTAGTATTCTGGGATGATATCCTGCATTACCCACAACTATAAGGAAGTCCTCAGGGTTCCATTTCAACATCAGTCACTAAATGACACTGTACCTTCTCAGGTCCACCTTACAGCAAAGCAAAATCCAGACAAAATTCACATCAGCATCACAGCCTGCTCACCTGGGGCCAGCTTTTAGCTTTTCTAGCACAGCTATTTCATTAGCAAACCACCTACTTCTAACACATAACTATCTAGCAAGATCATTTAAATTAATCTGTCCAACATGAAAAACTGTCACCAGCAAAAAGCTTTATCTTTTGGGTCTTTAAGAAAAAAGTTCTGTGTCCAGCATGATGTTCAGTGGCTGAATCCTCGCCTTGCATCAGCCAGAACCGCATATGGGCACCAGTTTGTGTACCACCTGCTTGACTTCCCATCCTGCTCTCTGCTTGTGGCCTGAGGAAGCATTGGAGGATGCTCCAAAGCCTTGGGACCCTGCACCAGATTAGGAGACCCAGAAGAAGTTCCTGGCTCTTGGCTTTGTGTCAGCTCGTCTCAATCATTGCAGACACTTGGGAAGTGAACCAGCAGATGGAAGATCTTTCTGTCTCTCCTTCTCTCTGTATATCTGTCTTTCCAGTAAAAATAAATCTTAAATAAAAATAAACATTAAAAAATAGTAAGTTCTTCACCAACGACGCTTGCTGGCGAGGATGCGGGGAAAAGGGAACCCTACTCCACTGCTGGTGGAGCTGCAAATTGGTACAGCCTTTATGGAAATCAGTCTGGAGAACACTCAAACAACTCAAAATCTGCATACCATATGACCCAGCAATTGCACTCCTAGGAATATATCCAAAACACCTGTTTTACGACAAACCAACATGCATCCCTATGTTCATAGCAGCACAATCAGTAATTGCAAAAACATGGAAGCAACTGAAATACCCATCAGCAGAAGATTGGATAAGAAAGCTTTGGTTCATCTACTCCATGGAATACTACTCAGCTATTAAAAAAAACAAAATGCAGTTCTTTGTGGCTAAATGGGCCCAACTGGAAACTATAATGCTAAGGGAAATGAGCGAATCCCAAAAGATTAGATACCACATGTTTGCCCTGATTTAACTTGTAATTTTTGTTTGGTTGTTGGTCATTTTTTGAACCTGTCATTGATACTGTCTCAACCCAGATGTTTCGAAGAATGGAACTCGCATTATTTTCAACATATTGTTTACCCAATACTATGTCAATTAATTCCATAATGTTGTATATTGATACTGAGGTTTTGTTGGGGCTTTTAACTGACCGGATCTTTACTCTGTTAGCCCTATCTTCAGACTAGAGAAGGTCTCCCCAAGAGGCCACTGAACTTATCTGGACAATAAGACGCTGGACTTTATGCTAGATATGTGTTTGCAAGGAACGAATCTCAACTGAACTTGAACTGTGGTTATGCAACAAGGTGGAGGAATCCACCATGGGGGGAGGGGTATGGGAGGGGTGGGGGGAATCCCCAGTGCCTATAAAACTGTATCACATAATACAATGTTAACAACAATAAAAAAGAAAAAAAAAATAGTAAGTTCTTACTGTATGCTCTTTCAAAACACTCACTGTGAGGCACAACTTCACTTATAAATACTCAAAGTACTCCAAGAGCTTCATGCAGGTAGCCAGAACATTAAAGCCACTATTACGGACAACTTACAACTCAGTGTCTCCCATGTGCCAAACTGAACCTCCCAGATGGGCTTTTCAAAGGAATATATCTATATAAAATTCAAGGAAAGAAAGAATTAGGATTTTTAATATAACCAACCTGAGCTAGAACTGTGATGAAGTTGCGATTTAAATGAACTGCTTCATAAAGTGCTAGAAGAATAGCCTCATTGGTTCTAAAGAAAAAGAGAATAAATTGCAGTGACTTAGAGTGAACACAAGTTAAACATCAGGATATAATTCTATCTGACTTATCTAGCCCTTTGGGTTCCTAACGCTCCATATACATAAGCATATTGAGCTGGTGGGGAGGTGCTGCATTATGGAACAACAGATGCTACCATCTATGATGCTGGCCTCTTATATGGGCACTAGTTTGTGTCCTAGCTGCTCCACTTTTGATCCAGCTCCCTGCTAATGGCCTGAAAGAGCAGCAAAAGATAGCCCAAGTGTTTGGACCTTGCCATCCACATGGGAGACATGGCTGGCCCTGGCCATTAAAGCCACCTGGGGAATGAACTGGCAAATGAAAGATTCTCTCTCTTCTCTCTCTCTCCTTCATTCCCTTCCTCTCTCCTTCCCTCTCCATTTCTGCAGCTCTGACTTTAAAAATAAATAAATCTTAAGGCAAAAGAATGTAGAGGTCAGTAGCCATATGGAGTAATGCTACTGCCTGCAATGTAGACATCCCGTATGGGTGCAAGTTTGTATCCCAACTGTTCCACTTCTGGTCCAGCTCCCTGTGAGTAGCCTGGGAAAAGCAATGGAAGATGGCCTAAGTGCGTGACTGCCACCACATGGGAGACCCAGATGGAGCTCATGGCTTCCGTCTGACCCAGGGCTAGCCGCTACAACCCTCTGAGGAGTAAAGTAGCAGATGAGGGTCTCTCTGTCACCGTGTCTCTCCTGGAATCTCTGTAATTCTTTCAAATAAATAAATCTTTAATATATACATACATATATTGAGGCATTAATTGTAATTCCTGAAGATCAGTTCTTATCTACTTCACCTACTATCCCACCTCACTTTTCCACCCCTAATGTTGTTAACTCCTCAGCTGGTTTAGGTACTCAGCCCTCTTTGTTTCTTTCCAGTGGAGGTGCTAACAGTTTTTTGGCTTCATGAAGTCTATACATGTAAGATAAAGGAAAAGACTTCTAAAGGTTTTTTTTTTTTTCACTGTGTTGGCAGTGAAAATCTGAGCAAATGAAGACTTAAGGTGGATATGTCAACCAGTGGATTCTGCAGTGATTTCATCGTGCTTGGTATGGCGAAACTGGCAGCAATTCAGAACTGTTGAATTATCAAAACCACTTGAGCAGGATCCTCGGAGCATGCCCCACATCGGGAACCTGGGACGGGGAAGGCTGGGGGGGCTTCTCCCTTTCTCTCTCCCTTTATCCCAAATACAGAAAAATAATAATGATGAGGAGGAGGAGGAGGATGTAGAAACAATAGTCTTACCCACTTTCCTATAGCCCTTGACCATTTGTAAAGATTGTCAAAATAAAAAAAAAATTTTTTTAAATTAAACCCAAAGAAATATTTAATAAACGGAGGGAAAATAATTAGCAAGAGGTAATGTTTCAAACTCTTATATCCAGGGGCTCAGCCCACAGTGAAGTCAGATTCCCACCCAAGTACGTCAGGCACTTACTGCACGGAGATTTTCTCATGGGCGTCTGCTATGAACATGCTGCCCACCTGTGGAGAAAACGGGCATTGCAGACCTACAGCACAGAGCATGAGGTGCTCCTGTGCCTTTCATCCCTGCTTCCGGCACAGGAACTGTTAATTCTGCCCCACCAACCTCATACCAAAAACTACCCTGTGAAAGTCTTTACAAGACTCATAGAGTAATGAAGAAAATCAGAAGAACCCTACTAATTCAACTTCCCTTGAAGGCCCAAAAGCAAAAATCCCAGTACTTTTCATCCAGTTTTCATTTCAGTTTGAAGTTCCCTTACTCTGATGATAAGCAAACTCAATGAGCACATCCTCACTGCATCTCTCTTGGAAGTCACTTGTGGTTGTGAATTAACTCGGGAAGAATGCCACAGAAAACAGACGGAGCTGTCTGCACGGGTATACTATGGTCTCAGACCACAGAGGTCTATCTCTTCCCTTCAGATTACAAAAACTTTAGTTTGTATCCTTATCCAAGTAAGCAAATTAGTAAGTGGATATGCCACTTTTTAACACGTGTGGTATCAGATCAAGGAAGGTGCTCTCCTTCCTAAAAAATATCTTTTCCACCTGCTCACTGATGCCCAAAGTTATGCAACAGAAGCTTTAATGGTCTGATAAATCTTTCCTCTGGTAGCAATATAATTCTAACTCATTTAATGAAGCATCAATGCGAAACTCATACTTCTCTACCCTCAGAAAAACTACACTGGGTATGGTTCAGGGTTAAAATTAATCAGGTCCTTTCCTGGGAGTGAGCTCTGAAAACTGAAAAAAGTATAATGACACATGGGACAAAAAGTGCTAAGGAGAGTTGGGGCTGTCTCTTGCGATAAATTCAAAAGCTCTCCTGGCCTAGGGCAGATAATTTGGTCACTAATGTCCAAGAAGACATCCTAGATTCTTCTGCCTAGATTCTAGGACTTCTCAGATTTTTCTCTTAAGAACTAGTTAGGGGGAGGGAGGAGTGGCACCATGGCATACTAATTTAAGTCTCCACCTGCAGTGCCAGCATCTCATACTGGCACTGGTTCAAGTCCCAGCTGCTTCACTTCTGATCCTGTCCCCTGAAAATGGCCTAAGGACGCACCAGCAACGGTCCAAGACCTTGGGTCTTGACACCCACACAGGAGACTCAGAAGAAGCTCCAGGTTCCTGGTTTCAGACCAGCCTAGCTCAAGCTGCTGTGACCACTTGGGCAGTAAACCAACAGATGAAAGATCTGCCTCTCCTTCTCTCAGTAACTCAGCCTTTGAAATAAAAACAAATGCATCTTTGAAAAAAAATATTAGTCCTTAGGGCTTGTGCAAAGTGCACTATGCTGCTGCCTGTAGGACTAGCATCCTAAGAGTACCAGTTTGTGTACCAGCAGCTCCACTTCTCATCCAGCTCCCTGCTAAGGTACCGGGAAAAGCAACAGAGAATGGCCCAAGTCCCTGGACTCCTGCCACCCAAGTGGAAGACCCAGAAGATGCTCCTGACCCCTGGCTTGGCCTGGCCCAGCCTGGATCACTTTGTTCTGGAGGAGTGACTCCTAGATGGAAGATTTCTCTCAATTTCACTCTCTTCTGTCTCCTCTCTAACTCTGACTAGTGAATAGTAAATCTTACTAATTTTAAATCTTACTAATAGTAAATCTTGCTTACTAATGAACAGTAAATCTTAAAAAAAAAAAAAAATGTCCCACAGCATCAGGCCCAAAATGCTAAAACTTCCAGTGTAGAAAATCTTCAACCTTGCCCTGTAGTCTTGTCAACTGAACCAATAACTTCCTAACCCTTGGCCCTCTCAGCCCAGATCTTAAGTGTTTGGAAGAATGGCTTAGAGGCACTTGAACAAGCCTTAAACTCCAAGACCAACTATTGGGGACCAAATGGCCATAGCATACAGCAAAGGAACCCATAGGTTCCTTTGGATTGAAGCTTAACCCCTCCCATTCTGGGTTCCACAGGCTCAGTGCTTGAAGAAGCAAAAGCTGGCTTAACAGAACTTTTCTTCATTCTTCAATTGATCCAGTAACTTGAAGAAACAATTCAGCCCCACAGAAATCAAAACTTTCCTTTCCCTCATCTCATTTGGCTTTGGCATTTACTAGAGGAGATTCGGTGCCCATGACATCATGAGGGGAAAATCTTTCTCCCCTCATCCTGCCTTGTCCCCACCAGTTGAACTTCCAAACCCTGATTCACCTGCCCCAGCAGATCTTATTTCAGAGCAAGGAGGGGAAAGGAAAACAAACAGGTGGGACTTACCATGTTTGTTAAAGCAGAAAAGAAACCACTCTGGTGCTCTTCTTCTTTATCTTTATACTGCCTGAAAAAAAGGAGCTAAATTCAACTTGAGGATTATTTATCAAGTTTTTGTCCTTGACATTCCAGGTAATCAGAGCAAGGAAGTCTCAAGAGTCCCCGACTCCAGAAAATGACATTCTGACCATGCATGGTTATACCTGTATAACACACTAACTGAACGAGCCTGTTTATAGATGGAAAACTGGTTTAAGTGTTATGCAATATCTGTAATGAAATACCAATCAGAAATCACTTAACTGCTTAGACTGAAGATGAACACTAACCTGGTAGTTATACTCCCTCAGTTTTTAAAGCAATCGTGCTAAAGCCATCAAGCCAACCTAGAGCAAACACAGTGACTCACAGCTATACTCCTAAAGACTTAGACTGGGCAAGAGAACTCCACCCAAGAACTCCAACAAACCAGTTCCCTACTCAACCAATTCAACTGAAAATTAAACCCTTCCCCGTATACACTGTACAGAGCCGACAGCCTTCCTCCAACAGGAGGTGGAACTTTACTGGAGAGAGGAAAGGCTGGCTTGTTTGGAACCTTGCTGTGAGTTCCTGCTGGTAGATGGCTTCTTCGAAGTTGCCAAGGCAAATGGAAGGAGTCAAGACCGAGAACAATAATCATATTAATTTGAAGGTGGTGGGGCAGGATGGTTCTGACATGCAATTTAAAAGTAAAAGGCATATCCCACTTAGTAAACCAATGAAAGCTTATTGCGAACGACAGCGTTTGTCAATGAGGCAGATCAGATTCTGATTTGATGGACAGCCAATCAACGAATCAGATACACCTGCAATGGATGTGTTCCAGCAGCAGACAGGAGGTGTCTACTAAGGGGAACCTGCTGCTTTCCTTCACAACTTTTCTCACAGACCAAGCACACATTCTCAATTAGAAACGGCAACTGGGTTCCATCACTGACTACTACAGTATGGTTTCTCTATTCTTTCATTGTTCGCTTCCCCCGTTCCTTTATTGTACATAAAGTAACTGGTGTATGTGCACAATCATATTGCATTTTTTCTTTCTCTTTGTTTTCTTTTTTTCTTACTAAATGGCTAATGGTATGTCTGATTGACATCAGATGGAGATGGAGAGGGGAGATGTACTGGTTCCGTGACAATGCCCGTTCTCCATTGTGGCATGCTCATTCAGCTCTTATCTTTATATTCCAGTAAGTTATTTTGCTCCCACTGTTTTAACAAAAACCCAACAACATAAAAATCCTTGCATACTTTGATTGGAGAATTTTAATGTTTTTCATTTATCATTGTAAAACCAAGGACAATTTTATAACTTTTTTGTACGTAGCTGTTACATGTAGGGCTACATGTCTTAAGTAGTGGTAAATTACTCTTAAAAAAAATGAATCCTAGATAGTTTTCTCCTTCAAGTGAAGTACCCTGTTGTTTAAATAAACTTCTTGTTTAAAAAAAAATCAAGCCCTTCCCTTCAAAAAAGATGGACATACCTGTTGTATTCAGATAAAGCCTGAGCAATCACAAGTCCCATGCCCTGGAAGAGAAAAGGTAGCACAGGTGAGATAAGCAAGCAGTTTTTGGGGGGCTGTTGGGGAAATGCTGTGATTGGGCCAAGGAGAACACAATTTACACGTCCACGGTTTATGTCCAAGAATCACTGCCTAGAAGTTGGCAACAACCATGGCAATTCTGAGGGGCATGGTCAAAGTATCAAAAGGAACTTCTTTGGGAAGATTTTTCTCATCAAATTGTCTTACTTAATGGTCCTGTATACAATTAAAATTCAGTAGCAAGGGCAAAGGGGACCAACTCAGATTAATGGTGATTTTACAAGCATCATTTTCATCTCAAAAGGAAAGGCTTGAGTTAAAATCTTGAAACAAAAAGCTCTCTTCTGTCTCCAAACTAGCCACAATAACAGTTGGTGAGTCTCATGCTAAATGAGAGCACAGAGTCCACAGCAAACAGAAAGTGTGAAGGGAAGAAGCATCAAAACAAGCTATGGTGACTTATCAACGCTCCCAGGAACTGGAAAGCACATAGCCCAAAGATCACCGAAGGCCACCAGGATGAGTAATGCGTGCCTTTTCCTCCAAAGTAAAATCAGAAGAGAAGAGGTAGGAACTAAAAGGCAAAAAGCCAGACAGCCAGTCATCTTCTTCCCCTCTATATCCAGAGATCATACGTTACATCCCAAACATTCAAGAAAATATATAGCAGAAATATATCATTCTGGTATGTTTCAGCTTCACCAAGTTGGCTATAAATACTGCCTAGCTAGTTCGACAAGGTCTTTGCAATCATTTAGTCAGCTAAGTTTTCTTATTCTTGGAATATGGAACTTAGTGACTTTATAGAAAAAAAAATCAAACTCAGCAGACTACAACATGAAATAACACCAACTACTTTGACAATTAGCAAGAAAATGCACCCCTCAAACCTTCCTAGACTGATGGTAAGAATTCAATAAGACAGTTGCACTTATGCTCTCAGAAGAAATATCAACTCACTCTTTGTAGCCCAGTAAAATCAACACAATAGCTCTGTGCTCTCTGTTCTAAATGTCCAATGAAAGTCAAACCACTGAGCATAGGTAAGCATTGGCAAACCTCATGTGTCCAGATACTCACATTAAGTGTGGCCTCATCATCCACAATAGACAGCTTCACAATATAAGGATTCACAGACTGTTAAACAAAAGAAGAAAGTCAAGGTAAGTGTGACCTTAAGTAAGAAAGTCCATGAGGAATTTAACAAAGTGTTAACAAAAATGTTTCTAGATGGCCCTCTGTTTATAGCGAAGTTCCTGATACCCAGGCGAAATCTCTCCTGAGTGCTCCCCCCCATTTTCTCTCTCATGTCCAGTAAGTCTCTCTTGATGTGTATGGGCATTCACCAAGTTCACATCACACACACACACACACACACACACACACACACACCCCTAGTTCTGTTCTATCTGCATCTCCACGAAGCTAAATGAGTTCAGGCCTGTATCTACCTGCTTTCCCATTTTTCCCTCTTACTTGTTTCTAAAAAGTAAGTGAACACTCTGTAAAACTCACTTTGTGCTACCCTACCAGGCCCACAGGGAGGACTATCTTTGGGGAAACATAAAGGCTGCTTTGCCATCAGGCACACATTTATAAGTTGCTAACTTACATTCTCATCCCAAAGGCTCCCTAACCATTCCACAAACTATATGCAAGGACTGATTCACCCACCCATAAAATAAAGCCACCTTGGGGGTGGGAAGAGGCAGCTGCCTAACAGCCAGAGAGGCCATTTATGGAAATCTAATGCCCACATAACACTGCAGGGGGAAAGGGAAAAAAAAATTTAATTACCTAAACAACAATCTGGTCAGGACCTGGGATTTAATGATTGTCCCATCTCCTACAGTGGAAGATTCCGTGAATTTTTCCAGACCCGTTCTCAGCTAGGTAGCATATGGAAATGGACATATATTCTAAACTCATTAAGTAACTGGATCATCTTTTACAAGTGGAATGAGAACCAACGACCTACTACTCACCTTGAAAGCATCATACCCAAAGGATGTGAGGAAAGATCCCATATGAGATCAGGCACCAATTCTAACCCAAGGGAGGGAAGCAACAATAGTTCTCAAATTGGCAGTTTTACAACTACCAGGAAAACTCATTACTAAGAAACTAGAAGACTTAACTGAAAGGCTAGCCCCCCACACAGACTTCATTTAATCAAGTTTCTGAGGGCCCCTTTTGCATGTCAATGGAGAACAGGAAAACAGATAGACTTGCTTTTTAATAACCCAAACGCGTATAATTTATACCCTCTACTCAATGAGACAGAACCCACTCTGCTTGTTCCTAGATTTGACAGTCAAAGTTCTCAACACGTTCCTATAACCCAAAGTCAAATTGTGCTGATACAAGCTGCAGACAGGACCAATGAAGCAGCTCCTTGGAAGAGAACATCAGCAGTCAGTTAACCCAGAGACATCACCATAATGAGAGCAACACGGGGAAAAGACATCTACATCTCTTGGTATAATTCTGGAAAGTCACTCATCTTCTCAAAGGTAGACCATAATACAGCTCATCCTGATGACTAATACAGAATACACTTCAGCAGACAATCAGAAAGGTAAGGGGCTAAAAGCAGAGGTTTGAGCTCTAGCTCCTCTATTTAGCGTGACAAGTTGGGCAGCTTCATGAAAATGAGTTTCAATTTCCACATCTGTAAAATGGCGATACTTTCTTCCTTTTCATTAAGCTTAAGGCCTAAATGAAACGAAACACATAAACTACACCTGAGAAAGGTTCACTGAGAGAGAAAGAGAGAGTCATGTAACAATTCTGCAATTTCTGGGAAATTGAGTAGGTGGGGTTTGAGTCACTATATTCCCATTTGACCAACCTGGAAGGCTAAATCTTGCTGCTGTGACAACTTCTATGCCACTGGACAACTCGACACATCTGTAGTGCTGGCCACTATTTAAAACTAAAAGCAATCTACTTCATACCTACCAAACAAAATCATTATAAATGTGGAAAGCCTTTACTGGATCACTTTTCTTTGTCTGCTCTTTTAAGCTGTGCTTTTTCTCTTTTTCATTGCTTCTCAAGACTTCTCTATCTGCTTAGATGAAATGACTAAAATATAGCGCATTATCTGAAAAGGAAGAACTATTTATTGACTACATAACATCTTTTTTTAAAAGATTTATTTATTTTATTGGAAAGGCCGATGTACAGAGAGGAGGAGAGACAGAGAGGAAGATCTTCCATCTGATCATTCACTCCCCAAGTGACCGCAATGGCCAGTGCTGCGCCAATCTGAAGCCAGGAGCCAGGAACTTCTTTCCGGGTCTCCCATGCGGGTGCAGGGTCCCAAAGCTTTGGGCTGTCCTCCACTACTGCTTTCCCAGGGCACAAGCAGGGAGCTGGATGGGAAGTGGAGCTGCTGGGATTAGAACTGGCACCCGTATGGGATCCTGGAGCGTTCAAGGCGAGGACCTTAACCATTACGCTATCGTGCCAGGCCCAACATTTTTTTCATCATTTTTTTTTAAAGATTTATTTTTATTCTATTGGAAAGGCAGATATACAGAGAGGAGAGACAGAGAGGAAGATCTTCCGTCCGATGATTCACTCCCCAAGTGAGCGCAACGGCCGATGCTATGCCAGTCTGAAGCCAGGAGCCTCTTCCGGGTCTCCCACACGGGTGCAGGGTGCCAAAGCTTTGGGCCGTCCTTGACTGCTTTCCCGGGCCACAGGCAGGGAGCTGGAAGGGAAGCGGGGCTGCAGGGATAGAACCGGCGGCCATATGGGATCCCAGGCGTGCAATGTGAGGACCTTAACCACTTGCGCCACTGCGCCGGGCCCTTTTTCATCATTTTTTAAAGATTTATTTTATTTGTTTGAAAATCACAGTTACAGAAAAGAAGAGAGATCCGTCCACTCTTTGGTTGCGCCAGGCCAAAGCCAGGAGCTCCTTTCAGGTCTCTCTCATGGGTGTAGGGGCCCAGACACTTGAGCCATCTTCTGCTGTTTTACAAGGTGGATTACCCAGGAGCTGGACTGGAAGTACAGCACCCAGGACTTGAACCAGTGCCCATCTAGGATGCTGGCATTGCAGGTGGTAGTTTTATCCACTATACTATGATGCTAACTCAAATTGGTTCTAATGCTTAAGTTCAATACCTGATTTGCACGCTTTGTGCTTAGCTGGACACCCACCCTCTCTAGAGCCTCTGCCTCTTTCTGGGAATTATAAACTTTCCATATTGATCACAAACTGATTATGGAGGTAGCTAACCCTTACACACTTCCCATATTAGTTTGCACAGAATTCCAGCACCTTTTGGGTTTTTACTATGTATAACTGAAATTCCTCATGTTCCTACCAAAAAAACTTCTTGCTTATGGTCACTAGGCTTCCCTAATGGTTTCTGGGGAATGACTTATATCAAAAGCTGCAAAATCCACATAAATTATGCCTGTCAGCTCACCTTCACCCACTATATTAATTCTTCTGAGGGCTTCTGACAGACTAGAGATGCGTGCCTCACTCCAGATACATAATTTTCTCCAGTTCCTTGGCCATGTTCAATTTTTCAGGTTGACATTTCAGAGAGCCCTACTGAGCTAAACTAGGGTTCAATTCACATTTACAGAACCCAAGTTATTGCCTCCAAGTGGCCTACTTCCAGCTGAATGCTCCAAAAAAATTCATTACTGATGATGGCGCTTTCCTGTCACATATAACTCAACTCTCTTAAACTATCCTCAGCATTTTTCCTCAGCTATTTTTCTAGCTGTTGTAATAAGGCCCCAGAGGCTATTACACATGACAGATTATAATGGCTATCCCGCCAGCCTCCTCCAGATCACCAGTAAAACAGGTGTCAGTGATAAATTACATATTTATTAGCTCTACCCACCATTCATCAATTTCTCCCAATCAAAGTGATCAACTCAGGACAGCAGTGTGGTAGAGTGGGCAAAGCTGCTGCCTTGGAATCATGGGCATCCTAAATGGGCATGAGCCTCAGTCCTGACTACTCCACTTCCAATCCAGCTCCCTGCTAATAGCCTGGGAAACCAGTGGAAGACGACCCAAGCATTTGGGTCCCCTCTACTTTTGTGGGAGAGCCAAAAGAAACTTCTGGCTTTGGCCTTACCTAGTCCTGGCCACTGATATCATCTGGGGAGTAAATCAGCAGATAGAACGTATTTCTCTCTGCCTCTCCCCTCCTCTTTCTAATTCTGACTTTCAAATAAATAAATTCCTTTTAAAAAAGAAGAAAAAAATGAACAACTCTTGGTATATATAGCACATTAATACTGTTTCCCATATTCCAATTTCTCCTTGAGTGTCCCTTTCTCACAGCCTTTCCTTCTTCCAATTCTTGCCCAAGAATAAGCTCCAGATTCCGTGTTACTCCTCACCATTAACTTGGCCAAGCAAAGCCATGCTAGGAACTGCACCAAATATCAGTAAGTAAAGCTCCAGGAGCTCAGAAAAGAAAATCCTTTGCTCAGCTAACGCACTTCTCAAAGCACTGACACTCACTAAATAAAGAAAGTCAGGTTGTCTCAACGCAATGCCTTACTTCTGAGCTCACTAAACTACTGACAGTACCCAGAATTCAGTGCCAAATGTTTCCCATGCCTTGACGCGATCCTCCAGTAAGATCATGGTCTACCCTTCTTTTACATTTTTTTTAATCTTTTATTTTCTTTTCAATATTGTTTACATAGATGAAAGTGAAGTAAGTCCATGTGGGCCTATGATCAAGGTGGGGAGGTTCAGATACAGAGTAAGGTGGGTGAGACTAAACTTTGTTTTTCTTTCTCCTCTGTCTGCTGGGGCCATTTCCTTCACTTTTTGAGGAAAATCAAATACATATGCTAAGGGTCAACACCATAATGTAGAAAGCTAGGCCTCTACATGGGCACTGGTTTGTGTCCCAGCTGCTCCGCTTCTGAACCAGCTCCCTGTTTAGGGTCTGGGAAAGCAAAGGAGAATGGCCCAAGATCTTGTACCCATATGGAAGACCTGAAAGAGGGTACTGGATCCCAGCTTTGGCCTTTGAACCTTTTGGGGAGTGAACCAGTGAATACATGATCTCTTTGTCTTCTTCCCTCTGTAAAATCTGCCTTTCAAAATAAAAACCCTATTTTTCAAAATAAATACACCAGGTGTTTGGTTTCCAATTCTACTATTCATCATACTCAAACAGGGATTTTAAAAAAGATAACAAAAAAAAAAAGAAAAGAAAAAAAAAAGATAATAAAACAGGAGCTACCATTTGGCACAGGTTACATACCAAATGTGCCAAGACTTTGTTCCAGCTGTCTGCTGATGAGCAACCTAGGAAGCAGCTGGTGATGTTCGAGTATTTGGGTCTCTGCCATTCAATGTGGGAAACCAGATTGGGCTTCAAACTCCTAGCTCCGTCCTGATCCAACCTGGGACCCTACAGGCATTCGAAGAGTGAAACACCAGATGAAAGATGTGTGTGTGTGTGTGTGTGTGTGTGTGTGTGTGTGTGTGTGTGTGTGTGTGTGTGTGTGTGTGTGACAGTGTGTGTGTCTGCCTTGTAAATAAAACTGAATAAAAACTTCTGCAACATTTAGTAAAAAAATTTAATAAAAGAGATTCTTATCCCTATCCCTGCCAAAAGATTCTGATTCAGCATGGTGTGTCCAGAGTTAAAAGCTGAGACTATTTTTTTTCATTTATTTATTTATTTGAGAGGATGAGAAACAGAGACAGAAATAGAAATTCCTCTATCTGCTCCTTCACTCCAAAGTGCCTAAAACAGACAGAGCTGGTGCTGGCAAAAGCCAGGAGCTTGGAATGCAATCTGAGTCTCCTATGTGGGTGTTCGGGATTCAGAGTTACTTTGCATTATCAAGAAACTGGAATTGGGAACATCAGTGGGACTTAAAACACACACATCACACTACAGGAGGCAGTCACTGTAAGTCACATCCTAGCTGCTGTGCCAAATCCCCAACCCAAGAATCTCTGCTTTCTAAGTACTTCCTGGGTAATTCTAACAAGCTACGTTTGGGAACATGACATTAATGGGTACGACTTCCTTTGTTTAGCTAAAAGCTGTTCTACAGGATTCCTTTCAATAATGCTACATCCTCACTGCACTATGCATTCTGGAAAGGACTGTAAGAATTTGGTTTATAAGGCCCAGCACAGTGGCCTAGTGGCTAAAGTCCTTGCCATGAACGTGCCAGGATCCCATGTGGGCACTGGTTCTGGTCCCGGTGGCCTTGCTTCCCATCCAGCTCCCTGCTTGTGGCCTGGGAAAACAGTGGAGGACAGCCCAAAACCTTAGGACCCTGCACTCCCATGGGATACCCAGAAGAAGCTCCTAGTTTCTGGCTATGGATTGGCTCAGCTCCAATTGTTGCAGCACCTGGGGAATCATCGGTCAGAAGATCTTCCCCTCTGTCTCTCCTCCTCTCTGTATATCTTCCTTTTCAATAAAAATAAAACAAATCTTTAAAAAAAAACTTTTTATCATTTATTAAGAACATGTCTTGTAAATTAAACAAAGCCCTTTAGGAGTCACCTTGGGCAGGAAGATTATACAAAGCAACAACTTTCCATTGAGGAGTCTCCTTACCTCATATTTCCTATAATTCACCAACAAAGCCAAGAGGACAACAGCATCATACCCATGCTCTCTACGACTTGGGGGGTGGGAGAGGATCTGTAAGAAAAACCAGAAATACATGAATTCTAATTCCTGGTTCTTGGGAAAAACAGACCAATAAAATCTGAGGAGGTAATATAGCCATCGGAAAAAAACATTAACAAGAAAATTGCCTTACCTGTAAAATTGCTTCAAATATGCTGTTGATCATTACATATTCCAAGATAGTATTCTGGCTGATGTTATCTGTCACCTGGAAGCAATAATCAGGCCTTTTAAAGTCTGCTAAGTCTGCTAACACTCTGATTATCTCATGTGTATCTCCTAGCCTAGCATCTAAAAGGAACAGAAATATTTAGAAGAAACTACCAGAGACCAGTTCGGAAGCCTAGCGGCTAAAGTCCTCACCTTGCACATGCCAGGATCTGCTATGGGCACCGGTTCTAATCCTGGTGGCCCTGCTTCCCATCCAGCTCCCTGCTTGTGCCCTGGAAAAGCAGTCAAGGACGGCCCAAAGTCTTGGGACCCTGCATAGGCATGGGATATCTGAAAGAAGCTCCTGGCTCCTGGCTTCAATCAGCTCAGCTCTAGCCATTGTAGCCACTTGGGGAGTGAATCAATGGACGAAGATCTTCCTCTCTGTCTATCTGCCTTCCCAATAAAATTAAATAAATTTAAAAAAAAAAAGTAAGAAAAAAAGAACAAACTACGAGTACTTAGCACTTTCATAAGTACCCCAAAGGCACCAAACATTGAATAAAAAATCAACAAATTAAAATTTCCCTCGCCTTGAGGTTAAGACATGGCTTGGGATACTGGCATCTTCTCTCAGAGCGCCAGGGTGGAGGTTCTGGCTCCGTCCACAGTTCTAGTCTCCTAATGCACTACCTGACAGGAGGCTGCAACTGCTCCAGTACTTGAGTTCCACCCATTCAAGCCAGAGGCCTGGATTAACTTCCTGGCTCCAGGCTTCCAGCTCCAGCGTGACCCAGCTATTTGTGAGCATTTGGGAAGTGAAACAGCAGATCAGTATCTCTATTTCTGTGTCCCGCACATTGCTCTTCTCATATTAAACCAATAAATTTTTCAAAATTAAAAAAAAAAAAAAAGAAAGAAGCTTCCTAAAACTTTGAACTTGCTGTCACTTTGATGTCTTCACACAAGCATTTACTTCACAACTTCTTGGGTTCTATTCCTCAGATAGGTGCCGATTTCTAAATCAATCCAGCAGTCTTCAAGAAGCAGTATGGCAAAAGAACCACAAGAAGTAAATGCATAATATACCACCCTCCTCCCACTAGAAAGTAGAAAATACAGGCCAGCCAATCCCTTGTTATGAAATCAAAACCTGAACAAAATTATTCACAAATAAAACCATTTCCAAATGAGATTTAGGAGAAGGGCCAATCTGACAACCTTGAAGACAACATTTTTGTCCCAAAGTGACAAACAGCACGTAGCCTGAAGGCTGAAAAAGTCAGCAGTCACTCCCAAGAGCCACTTGGAGAATACACAAGTCCATGCAACACCCTTGTATACATTCAGAAACAAAGGGTTGATGCAATATCATAATCAAGAGCTTTTTTTTCTTCTTTTCTCTCTTCTCCCTTCTAACTTGGGGTTCAAGTATTTGAATAAACTAGCCACTGCTGTCAGTTAACAACCTTAGTAAACATACAGAGAGGTCACTTACAGTCACTAAGCAAAGGAGAAGTTTCAGACATAAACTCTTTAGACTTTCAGAACCTTCTGCACAAAGCAATGAATCCAAACTCTCCATCAGGTTCTGGAAAAGAGAATCATTAAACATTGAACCATACCAGAAACACCTACATCCTCATCCAACTCTCAGGTATGTTACACAAGGTAATGTAAATAACAAGGAAGCAACCACATCATTTCTCTAGGACTCAGCCCTGCAAGATTAGACAAAGAAAAAGATGACACTAAAGTCTAAAAGTTTTGGAAAAAGTAATTTAGAACAAGCACACAGCCCGTTGGCAAATCCAAGCACCAGAATACAGTGTGGGTCGGGGTCAGGCCAGGTTTGGTCAGAACATATACCAGTACATTATGGCTGGGACTTGGGGCCTACTGGGCTTAGCTAAGCTGTAACCCTCACCAGCATCAGCTGAATTGGGAGAGTCAAGCCGGCCCAGGCTACAGCATCCACTGGCAAATGCCAAGGCGAGGCAGCCCATGCCAGACTGGGCCATAGCACCCAACCAGCACAAGTGAGAACGAGGGAGGGAGGGGCAAAGCTGTGTCAGGAGCCGTGTACTAGAGCCACACTGAAGCCATTCTGAATATAAAACTATGGGCCAGTGGAAAACCCCCAGCTGGCTAGATGCTTGGGAAAGAGGTTATGAAGCTAATCACACGCTTAGCTTCAATTGTTTCTAGCAACTGTTTCAGAATGTGATTTATGCTGTACCTGCCGACATCTTGTCACTGATTACCTATGCTATTGTTGATATGCTGGTTACTATTGTTGATATGGTAGCTGCTCAAGAACAATCGGTCTTGAGACCATGGCTTGCGTCCCAGTTCCTCCTTTCCTCCCTGAGCCTTAGTTACTGAAGAATATAAAAACCCTCAATTAAAATCAATAAACTGACAGCTTGATCAGACATCCTGTCTTGCTGTCCATTCTCAGTGTCTCTTGTCCCCTTCATTCTCTCCTAGGTTGGTTGCGACCCCCGTTGACTGTCCTGCTGGGCGGGACAAAGCTGGTAGGGGGAAAGTGGAGGGCCCCCTGCTGGATCACCAATCCCACTGGAGACATTGAGTTGGGATGGGGGCAGACCAGACCAGGCAGGGCTACAACACCTGAAGGCCTCATGTAAGCTAGATCAAGGAAAACCCAGGCTGATCTGACTGTCTCAACTTGTGCAAACATAAATCAGAGTGGGTGAGGGTTGGTGAGGCTTTGCAGCAGCATCAGCTGGCAGATGTTGACACTGGTGGATTAATTCTGTAAAGCCAAACTGCAGAAATACCTGGTGAGTGCATGATCTGGGAGTGAGAGAGGACCTAGTAGGGAAATAGTGGGCACCTCCCTCCACTTCTACTGGAGAGCATGAAAATCAGGACTGCAGCAGCAGTGGCCAGACAGAACAGCACCTACCAGCATGTGTGTGGACTGGATAGCAGGGCTGGTTGGGTTGAACTAGGCTTCAATGCCCACTGACAAACATAAGAGCTGAATGGGATGTGGGACAGACTGGACCAGTCTGCTGTACATACTGGCAAGCACAGGAACCAGGGCAGGGGGCAGGCCTGGTGGGGGTTATTGCGGTTCGCTCCAACTAGGAAGCAGCTCCAACTGGTATGTGTAAGGGCCAAGTGTGTGGTGGGCAGGAGAATCAGGCAGGACTGCAATACCCCTTGGTTCTTGTGGAAGAAAGGGCTGGAAACAGAACTGACCCAGCAATTGCAATGACCAGCATGTACATAAGCTGATTGAGGGGTCAGACTGTGCTGAACCCTGTACAGGCAAGCACACACAAGAATCAGGTCTGGGATCACTAAAGATGAAGTTTCTTTGCAGAGCCCCCCAATTGAACTGCAGGACTCAGAACCCCAATCACAAAGAGAATTGCAGGTTCCATGGTCTGACCATGGAATGCATGTGTCAAAGCTGAGCCTCCTCAGAGGCTCAGATGGGGTAGTGGACAGCATATCCAGGTACACATGGAGGATACGGCAGTACATTTGAAACTGCAGAGGACACCTGGTACCACAACAGAAGACAGAGGACACAGAACAGACCAAATCGATCAACTATCCCAGCCAAGCACTGTCAGTGAAAATCTGGGCAAACGGAGACTCTAAGTCAGCCAGTAGATTCTGGAGAGATTTCATTGTGCCTGGAATGGTGAGACCAGCAGCAATTCAAAACTGTTGCACTATCAAAACCACTTTAGTACCCTCAGAGCACGCCCCACACCAGGGACCCTGGGAAAGGTGGGAGCCTGGGTGGGACTGCTTCTTTATCTCCTTACTTATCCCAGACATAGGGGAAAAAAAGAGAGAGAGAGAAAGAGAGAATGTGGAAACAATGGTCTTATCCACTTTTCTGTAGTCCTAATCAACTATGTAAAAATTATCAAAATAAAATAATAATTAAAAAAAAGAATAAACGCACAGAACATTTAAAGCACCCACTATCCTACCAAACAAATGTCTGTAGCCAAGGCCCAGTGCAGTTGCCTAGTGGTTAAAGTCCTTGCCATACACACACCTGAATCCCATATGGGCGCTGGTTTGCATCCCGGCTGCCACACTTCCCATCTAGCTCCCTTTTAGTGGCCTGGGAAAAGCAGTCAAGGACAGCTCAAAGCCTTGGAACCTTGGAAGAAGCCCCGGCTCCTGGCTGTGGATCGGCTCAGCCCCAGCCACTGCGGCCACTTGGAGAGTAAAGCAGTGAATAGATCTTTCATTATGTCTCTCCTTCACTCTGTATATCTGTCTTTCCATTTAAAATAAATAAATCTTTTAAATAAATAAATAAATAAAGCTGAAGAACCCAGGCTAATTTAAAGATGAAACTCCAGTGTTACAGGAGAGGGAACAAAGTAATACTCTACTTCAAATGAAGAAAGAGAGTGCCTGCTGCAAGGCCAAGCTGAAGGTTCAGAAAAACCTTTAGTTCAACTCAAAAAAATATGTATCTTCTCTGTAAAACAGTGTGATTTTAAAGGATGTGAGAAAAATAAGACTATGACCTTATTCTCAAGGTACTTTTATTATAACAGGAAGAAAAATAAGCAGCTTTAAAAAAAAAAAAAAAAACAAAGATTTATTTCTATTGGAAAGTCAGATAAACAGAGGGGAGAGAGACAAAGATCTTCCGTTCAATGCTCCACTCCCCAAGTAACTGTAATGGCCAGAGCAACACCGATCCGAGACCAGGAGCTCAGAGCCTCTTCTGGGTCTCCCACACGGGTGCAGCATCCCAAGGCTTTTGGGTCATCCTTTACTGCTTTCCCAAGCCACAAGCAAGGAGCTGGATGAGACGCGGGGCAGCCAGGATTAGAACTGGCACCATATGGGATCCCAGTATGTGCAAGGCAAGGACTTTAGCCACTAGGCTACCGGGCAGGGCCCGAAAAATAAGCAGGTTTGATTTACTGATTACTACAACACAAATATAAACAGAATAAAATCAGTTCAAAAACCACATATTTCAGGTAGCTCAGGGGTGAGTTATTGGTTGAAAAATCAGTAGGAATAAAACTTGAAAAGGTAGGAAAGATGTTCTGCCTTGCAGTTAGGATGCGGGCTATGCCTGCATCCAACACTGACAGGGCTGGATTTGATTCCTGACTTTAGTTTCTTTCTTATTTTTTGAGTCGCTGCTTAGTTAGCTCCAGGTTGAACCCACTGTTCTAGGACACGAAGCATTGGTAAAGATTCCCAATGACAGTAACTCTTCCTTTGTAAAACTTGTAATCACTGAACAATGCTGACCACCAAATTCAATCCATGCAAAAGCTATGGCTTGGGGCTTATCCTGCAGAATTATATCATGTTACCTGATATGATGATGGATCAGGAGAAGGGTCACATTAAGCGAGCCATTGCATTAACTAGCACTCAAGAATCATAACCGGGGGTAAATTCTGTGAGGGATGTGTGGGCCACATCCTGTGAAAATTTTAGCCCCACTGGTTATTCCAAGAATTGGGGTGGTGATGGACTAAGCTAGGTGTGACCAAGGAGCCTGCCATCAATCACAGGTAAAGGAACCCACAACAGTCTGGACTGGTCAGGGCAGCAGCACCCGAATGTGCATCCTGATTAAGGTGTGGGGAGGGCTGGGCTACAACGTTCACCAGCTCATACAAGGCCAAATGGAAGGCCAGACTGTGCTGGGCACTGGCCTAAACCCAATGGCATGTATGAGAACTGAGTCTGGGAGTGGGTCAAGTGGAGGAATTTGGGAAACTCCCTTGGCGAGTCATAGCTCCTGCTGGTGAGCATGTGGTCCAGACCCTGGGGTCGGACAAGCTGGGAAAAGTAGCTCCAACAGCTGGCTAATGTGTCAATTGGTAATGTAACAGAGTAGATCAGGCAAGACTGAGCAAATCTTAGCCCACAAGCAAAACTAAAGACCAGGAGGGAGCACAGGTCATGCCGAGCTAGGCTCTTGCACCTACTGGTCTGCGTGAGCCAGGAACGCTATGCCACAGTGTCTAAGGCAGAGGTCAGGACAGGTAAGGGGCTGTGCCAAGCTTAGTCAGAGCAACCACTGGCATGCATGTGATCTATGGCTGGGAACAGGCCCGGCTGGGGAGCTAAGGGGACAACCCCAGCTGGACTGAGGTTCCCACCTAGGGGCGTGTGACCTGGAATGGGGGCTGCGTTCTGATCTGGAAACGGTTGTAGACTCCCTTGGCACAAGTGTGGACTGGGATTGGATGCACCGAGCTGAGCCAGACCCCAATACCCTCTGGTGTCCTGGAGGACCGGGATAGATGTGCGATGGACTAGGCAAGGTCTCAACCCCCTACTGACCCATGTGTGAGCCATATGTGGGTATGGACAAACCATGGCTGGGCTGAAACATCCAACAAGAACCAGTTTGGGTTGAAGGCCAGCCAGGAAAAAACACAGTTCCTGCTATGACAGGAGGTGGACTGAGTAGGGCTGGCTCATGGACCCACTGGTAAGCGTGAAACCTGGCACTGGGAGAGGTTCTGAGGAAGGAGCCTGGGCAACTCCTCTGGCAGGACACAGACCCAGCAGGTAAACGCAAGAAACATGATAGGAAACAGCCCAGAATAGGCCATGGAAAGTTACCCACTGGCATACATTTGGCATGGGTCGGGGGAAGACCAGGCTGAATCTGTCCATGTCATCCACTGGCAAATCCAAGCACCAGAAAAGTGTGGGTCGAGCCAGGTTCGGTTGCAACAAAGACTAGTGCACAATATGGAATGCCAAGGTGACGTTGCCAGTACCGGATGTGACTGCAGCGCCCAACCAGCAAGCGTGAGAACAAGGGGGCAGTGCCGGCAGGGGAATAAAGGGTGATTCCTTTGCTGGATGGCTACTCCCGCTGGAGAGCATGGGCTGGGATGGGGGCAGACCAGACTAGGCAGTGCTATAACACCTGTGTGCCTCATGTGGACTAGATCAGGGAAAAGCCAGGCTGGGCTAATTATTCCTACTGGTGCAAACAAAATTAGAGTGGGTGAGGGTTGTTTGGGCTTAGCCACAGCATCAGTGGCAAGAAACTGGCACTAGGGGCTAGTTCTGTCAAGTCAAACCACAGAACTACCTGGAGAGTGCATAATCCGGGAGTGGGAGAGACCTAGGAGGGAAATAGTGGGCTCATTCCTCTTGGGGTACCACTTCCACGGGAGGGCATAAAACTAGGACAGTGGCTGGGGTGGAATGGGGTGTTGGACAGACTGGATTACTGCTACACATACTGGCAATCCAGGGTAGGGGGCAGGCCTGGTGGGGGTTATTGCAGGTCGCTCCAACTAGGCTGCAGCTCCCACTGGTTTACGTGAGGGCCGAGTATGTGCTGGGCAGAACCAGGCTGGACTGCAACACCCACTGATTCCGGTGGAAGTCGGGAGTGAAAACAGAACCAACCCAGCAATTGCAAACACTAGCTGCTCAGGGTGATGGACTGTGCCGGGTCCTGTACTTGCTAGCACATACAAGAATCTGGTTTGAGAACACCTCAGACAGTTTCTTTGGAGATCTCCCCAATCAAAATGCTGGACTCAGAAGAACCCTAACCAAGAAAAGAGAGAAGACAGAACAGGTCAACCAACCATCTCAGCTGTATCTTAGCAGCGAAATACGGGGCAAACAGAGACTCTATGATGGACTATGTCAATCAGTGGATTCTTCAAAGACCTCATAGTGCTTGGAGTGGCAAGATTGGCAGTGATTCATAACTGTTGAAATATCAAACCACCTGAGCAAGAACCTCAGAGCATACCCTACATCCGGGACCTGGGGAGGGTGGGAAATTGGGTGGGCCTTCTCCCTTAATACCCTCCTTTAAGCATGAAGGAAACAATGTGGAAAAAATAATAGTCTTACCCATTTTCCTGTAGCCCGTGAACCTTTTTACCCTAATTAACTATGTAAAGATTGTCAAAATATAATATAAAAAAATTTTTTTTTTTTTACAAAGACAGATATACAAAGAGGAGGAGAAACAGAGAGGAAGATTTCCGTCTGATGATTCACTCCCCAAGTGACCGCAATGGCCGATGCTGTGCCGATCCGAACCCGGGAGCCAGGAACTTCTTTCCAGGTCTCCTACATGGGTGCAGGGTCCCAAAGCATTGGGCCGTCCTCGACTGCTTTCCCAGGCCACGAGCAGGGAGCTGGATGGAAAGTGGAGCTGCCGGGATTAGAACCGGTGCCCATATGGGATCCTGGCATGTTCAAGGAGAGGACTTTAGCCACTAGGCCACGCCATCAGGCCCGATTCCTGACTTTAGTTCCTAAATCCAGCTTCCTACTGGTGAAGACTAAAGGAGGCAGTGGTGCCAACTCCACTGGTGGTGGTGCCAACTCCAGATGGTGTGGATTGCCGCCACCTACACAGTGGTCCAGGATTGAGTTTCCAACTCCACTTTGATCCCTCACTACTACAGATATCTGAGGACTAGGCCAAAAGATTAAGGCTGTTTCTAAGTGTGTCTGCCTCCGTCTGCATCACCACCTCACCACCAGGTCTACCAAATTGTAAAAAATAAATAAATACATCTCAAAAAGTTGAGGAGGAAAGCAATTCTACACAGGTATGGCATGAGCAAAGATACATAAAAGGGACCAGTGCTGTGGTACAAGTAATTCTGCCACCTGCAACATCCACATCCCCTATAGGCTCTGGTTTGTGAGACAACGGCTCCATTTCTGATCCAGCTTCCTGCTAACAACACACAAAAGCAGAGGAATATGGCCCAAATGCTTGAGACCTAACACCACATTCTTAAAAATGTATGGTTATGGGCCCGGCATGAGGCCTGGTGGTCAGATCCTTGCCTTGCATGCACTGGGATCGGACACAGATGCCAGTTTATGTCCTGGCTGCTCCACTTCCCATTCAGCTCCCTGCTTGGGACCTGGGAAACCAGTAGGGGATGGCCCAAGGCCTTGTGACCCTGTACCCACATGGGAGACCTGGAAGAAGCTCCTGGCTCCTGGCTTCTTCAAATTATTTTTGAAGTTATTTATTTAAAAGGAAGAGCAGGGCCTGGCGTGGTGGCCTAGCAGCTGAACTCCTCACTTTGAATGTGCCTGGATCCCATATGCCACTGGTTCTAATCCTGGCTGCCCTACATCCCGTCTAGCTCCCTGTTTGTGGTCTGGAAAAGCATTAGAGGATTACCCAAAGACTTGGGACCCTGCACCCACATAGGAGACACAGAAGAAGCTCCTGGCTCCTGTCTTCAGATTGGCTGAGCTCCAGTCATCACGGCCACTGCAGCCATTGTGGCTGCTTGAGTAAGTGAATCAGCGAATGGAAGATCTTTCTCTCAGTCTCTTCTTCTCTCTGTAAATCAGACTTTCAAATAAAAATAAATAAATCTTGTAAACAAAAAAGTATGATTATATGATACAAATAATAAAAGAAAACTATTTGGTCTTTATACAGTAGGAAAAGGATGCCTTCATCCAAATCTGAACTTTATATTTTCCTTTATTCAGATAAACTGAATGTGAATATATATATACACACACATATACAAAGTTTAAGATCAAATGCAATCATTAATATCTGAATCCAAATGTACAGATGGTATCCACAGACAGCAGTCAAAAGCAATTAATAACCACGACATCTACAACTAACGTCTCACCTTCATGCACAGCTCCGCCTTGTCAAAGCCCATCAGCATGTTGATAATGTCAAACCCAGAGGTAGACTTATTCTTTTGATGAACTCCTCGAATGAGTGCACACAAGGTCTGCCAAGATAAAAGAAAATTTTTTCTAGAGAAGAAGTCATGGACCCAGCATGGTAGCCTAGTGGCTAAAGTCCTCGCCTTGCACACACCAGGATTCCATATGGTCACTGATTCTAATCCTGGTGGCCCCACTTCCCATCCAGCTCCCTGCTTGTGGCCTGAGAAAGCAGTCGAAGATGGCCCAAAGCATTGGAACCCTGCACTTGTGTGGGAGACACAAAAGATGCTCCAAACTTCTGGCTTCAGATCAGCTCAGTTCTAGCTGCTGCAGCCACTTGGGGAGTGAATCAATGGATGGAAGATAAATAAAACAAATCTTTAAAAACACACACACACACACACACACACAATTGTTTTAAATCTTAAGTTCAGGGGCTGATGCTGTGGCTTAGTTGCTCAACTTCCAATCCAGCTCCCTGCTAATGGGTCTAGGAAAGCAGCAGAAGATAGCCCAAGTGCTTATCCCCCTAAACCCACGTAGGAAACCCAAAACAAGCCCCTGGATCCTAGCCCTGTGGCCACTGGAGAAATGAAGCAATAGATAAAAGATCCCTCTCTCCCTATCCCTCCTCCCCTTTCTGTAATTCTGCCTTTCAAATAAATAAAATTAATATTTTTTAAACTTTAATTATAATTCCCATCCACCACAGAGTAGCTGTGAGAACCAGGGCACATGGCTCAGCTTTCTCATCTATAAAACAAGAGTGATAAAAGTATTATGCATCTTCAGTACAGCATGGTAGCCTAGTGGCTAAAGTTTTTGGGAAGTGAATCAGCAGATGGAAGATCTTCCTCTCTGTATATCTGACTTCTCAATAAAAATAAAATTTAAAAAAAGATAATAATAATAATGTAATATGTTTTTATGGGTCACCAAGGAGCTCAATGTCAACTTTCTTCTCCTGAAATAAAACTTTACAATTGATGCCTTCACAATGAGTCACAGTGATTACGGGATGCACAATTTCCAATTTTAATTGAGCCCCTATCCTCAAACTATTACACTCAGACAATCATTTGGTACAGCACCCGAAAGGCTTGTATTCCAAAATGAGTAGGTACAAGACATAGGTCTGAAGTTGCTTCCAGTCTCCCATTTATATTAGTACCTACAGGGAGGCATCCGTGACAGCGTAAGTTGTTGGGTCCCTGTCACCTACACGGAAGACCTGGTCAGAGTTCCTGCCTCTCTAGGCTTGTACCCAGTCCAGCCTCAACAGCTGTGGGCATTTGTGGAGTAAATCAGTGAAAAGAAGACCTCTCCTTTTTCTCTGTGTTGCTCTGCCTCTTAAATAAAAGCAAAATAAAGAAACTTAGGGCCTGGCATGGTAGCCTAGCAGCTACAGTCTTAAATGGACTTTATGGAGCTTATATGAACACCGGTTCTAATCCCGGCAGCCCTGCTTCCCATCCAGCTCCCTGTCTGTGCCCTGGAAAAGCAGTCGAGGACGGCCCAAGGTGTTGGAACTCTGCACCTGTGTGGGAGACCGGGAAGAAGCTCCGGGCTCCTGGCTTCAGATTAGCTCAGTTCGAACACTGTGGCCATGTGGGGAGTAAATCAGTTTATGGTCAATATTTCTCTCTGTTTTTCCTCTCTGTATATCTGCCTTTCCAATAAAGATAAAATAAACGAAAGAAAGAAACCTAAGCCTGATCTACCAATGATTCTAAAAAGGGGGGTTTTATAAAACTCATTTTATTTATTTTTTTAAAGATTTATTTTTTATTATTTTTTTATTGGAAAGGCAGATATACAGAGAGGAGAGACAGAGAGGAAGATCTTCCGTCCGATGATTCACTCCCCAAGTGAGCGCAACGGGTCGATACTATGCCGATCCGAAGCCAGGAGCCTCTTCCGGGTCTCCCACGCGGGTGCAGGTTCCCAAAGCTTTGGGCCGTCCTCGACTGCTTTCCCAGGCCACAGGCAGGGAGCTGGAAGGGAAGTGGGGCTGCCGGGATTAGAACCGGCGCCCATATGGGATCCCAGGCGTGCAAGGTGAGGACCTTTAACCACTTGCGCCACCGCGCCAGGCCCAAAAACTCATTTTATTTTTAATGGAGAGGAATATTTACAGAGAGAAAAAGATACTCTGAGAAAGATTTTTCATCTGCTAGTTCACTCCCTAAATGGCTTCAACAACTGGAGCTGAGCCAATCCAAAGCTAAGAACTGCCTTTGGGTCTCCCACATGGGTGCAGAGTAAGCTTCCATTACTTTCAATCAGAGCTAGTGGGGAAGTGAGCAGGTGGGACATAAACAGGTACCCATATGGGATACCAGCACATGCAAGTGGAGAACTAGCCAATTGGGCCATTGCACTGATGACACCCTCTATTTTTTCCTTGTGTGTGTGTGTGTGTGTTCTTTTAAAGATTCATTTATTTTTATTAGAAAGTCATATTCATTGAGTGAAGGAGATACAGAGAGGAAGATGTTCTGTCTGCTCAATCACAACCCAAGCAGTCGCAATGGCGAGAACTAGGCCAGTCCAAAGCCAGGAACCAGGAGTTTCTTCTGGGTATCCCACATGGGTGCAGGGTCCCAGGGGTTTGAGCCACCCTCAACTGCTTTCCCAAGCCACAGCATGGAGCCAGACGGGAAGCAGGGCTGCCAGGACACGAATTGGTGCTCATATAGGATCCTGGCACGTACAAGGTGAGGACTTTAGCCACAAGGCTACTGCGCCAGGCCCCCAATCCTCTATTTCCTTATGGATTTTTCATATTCTTAGTTTGATAATCACTGCCCTAAACACTTCAAATCAAGGCTATGTTGGACCTAGCAGAACATAAACATTAGAAACTTCAGGACATGGCCTGGCATGGTAGCCTAGTTGCTAAAGTCCTCCCCTTGCATGCACAGGGATGCCAACAGGCACTGCTTACTATCCCAGCTGCTCCACTTCCCATCCAGCTCCCTGCTTGTAGCCTGGGAAAACAGTCAAGGATGGTCCAAAGCCTTGGGGCCCCATACCCACCTGGGAGATCCGGAAGAGACTCTAGGCTCCTGGCTTCAGGTTGGCTCAACTACACCATTGAGGCTACTTATTTAGGGAGTGAATTACTAGACAGAAGATCTTCCTCTCTGTTTCACCTCCTCTCTGTATATCTGACTTTACAATAATAATAAATGAAACTTAAAAAAAAACTTCAGAACAGTATTCAATAACAATTTACCTCCAGGGTATTGCATTATTTTCTAGACACTGCCCTACAAATTAGGAGCAAAGTATTGAGTTAAAGTATCCAGGAAACTTACAGTGAAGGTCTACCAAACATGTGATGTGATGTACACTACTAACCCAAAAAATAGCTACTGGCTAAATCCTCCTCATGATCTAGCATGAAGAACAGCAAATCCTGCTTTGTAAATATTTTCTTTTTTTAATCTGAAAGTCTGGAATCAGAAAGACAGACATTTTTCAATTCACTTTTTCACTCACCAAATGGACAATGAGTCTTACGTCTTCTCTGAGGAGTTGATAAAAGCCCTCTCTCCAGAGTGGTAAATAAAATAAGCACATAAAATATTACCTGTAATTTTTTTTCAGTGATTCAAGGACCCCCTGAAGCCTCAGAATAAGAAGCTCTGATCAGTTAAAACTACTCTAGTTGACACCAACAGAGCAACCTTCTCCACAGGGAGCCTGAGGCATCATCCAAGGACTGTCTCCCGCTCTCTGGGGCCAAAGTAGCTTGACAGCAAGGAGGGTCCCTCTCCCTTTTCTACTCTGTAGGCACAGGAGGGGAAAAAAAAGAATAAAACATATGTCCCACTCATCTTCCTCCATACCTGACCCTCCCGACCCTAATCAGAGGCCCACATGGGCATGCATTTCTCTCAACTATGTAAAAATATTAAAAGTAAAATTAAAAAAAAAGAAAAAACCTTGAACTGGGGCCAGTGTTGTGGCACATCCAGTTAAGCTACCACCTCTAATGCCAACATCCAACTGCAGCAGGGATTCAAGCTGACCCAGCTTCCGATGCAGCTCTCTGCTTCTGATTCAGCTCTCTGCAGCACTGGGAAAGAAGATGATGCCCCAAAGCATGAGACCCTACCACCTATGAGGCTTGAACCTCAGGCATTGCAGCCATCTGGGGAGTGAGCCAACAAATGGAAAGTATCTATTATTATTATTATTTTACAATTAATTTTTTCTTTTGGGCTCAGCATGGTAGCCTAGTGGCTACAGTCCTCATCTTAAAAATGCCAGGATCCTATATGGGCGCTAGTTCTAATCCAGGCAGCCAGCTCCACTTCCCATCCAGCTCCCTGCTTGTGGCCTGGGAAAGCAGAAGAGGACAGCCCAAAGCATTGGGACCCTGCACCCACGTGGGAGAACCAGAAGAGACTCTGGGTTCCTGGCTCTGGATCAACTCAGCACCAGCCATTATGGTGACTTGGGGAGTGAATCACCAGATGGAAGATCTTCCTCTCTGTCTCACCTCCTCTCTGTATATCTGACTTTGCAATAAAAATAAATGAATCTTTTAAAAAACATATTTTCTTTTTATTGGAAAGTCAGATATACAGAGAACAGGAGAGAAATATCTTCCATCCACTGGTTCACTCCCCAAGTTGCTGCAACAGCTGGAGCTAAGCTGATCCAAAGCCAGGAGGAACCCAGAGCTTCTACCGGATCTCCCACACAACTGCCGGGTTCCAACGCCTTGGGCCATCCTCGACTGCTTTCCCAGGCCACAAGCAGGGAGCTGGATGGGAAGCGGGGCCTCTGGGATTAGAACCAGTGACCATATGGGATCCCTGCACACAAAAGGCAAGAATTTAGCCACTAGGCTATCCTGCCAGGTCTGAAAGGTATCTTCCTTCCTCTCCCTCTCTCCTCTCACCTTGATTTTTAAATATATAAATCTTAAAAAAGAAAAAGAAAGAAAAGAACTTCTGATCTAACAAGATAATACTGTATTAGAGTCTCTTCTAATTTTTGCTGTAGGTTAACAATCCTTGCCTCACATTCCTTTCTACCGCTTCCTTTCCAGAAGTTAACAACAAGAGTTCTGTCACACAATCAGCCTTGGAATTGGATCAAATTACACAAATGGACAAGATTATAGCTATGTCAACTTGTTTACACAAGAGGCTAAACAAACATGCCAGAGATATCTGATTACTTAAAAGAATTTAAAGGGGAAAAAAAAAACCTAACAGCAAGTCCAAGTACTTAAGAGTACAACATACATTAACTTTTTTCCTATGAAACAAAATCCCAGGGGCTCCAACCTTGTACCTGCAAAGCATTGACAACTCGAATTGGATGCTCCTCTCCCAGAGCCTGGATGCAGTGTTGAAATAAGCAATTCACATTGTCCTTGATCTTCATTAATTCCTCACCATCAAGAGATTCCAGCTTGCCTTCGAGGTATTCCAAGTTCACCTGCCAAGGAAATGAGGACAGTCTGGGTGTGATTTGATTTTAGCGCCAAGGACACAGGGAGGGCTTCCTACATACCAGCAGAACCCACAGATGCCATGAGGACTTACCTTCATGAGGAAGAGCTCCTCCCAAAACCGAGGGCTGAACTGGCTGGGGTCTTCCACCTGAAACCAGATAATAAGCACTTACTTTCCCAGCTAACACCAAAAGCACTTAGAACACTACACTAAATTAAAGTTACCTGTCAATGTTAACTTCAGAAGCGCTGAGTTTAACAACTTAAACCAGTGTAGGACCGAGATCATCTAAGCAACACAGCAGTGGTTTTCACACCAGACTTATGGACAATTTCAACCTATCCCTCGACTTGCCCTCCCTCGTGGGCTTCTGCATAACAGCGTTTTTTTGTTTTTCTTTATGGATTATTTTTAAGTGGAGCTTTAAAATTTATTTATTCTTATTTGAAAAAATGCAATTTTATTTATTTGAAAATTTTATTTTTAAGATTTATTTATTTAATTATATTGAAAGGCTGATTTTACAAACAGAAGGAGAGACAGAGAAAGATGCCATCCACTGGTTCATCCCCCTCTTAAATGACTGCAATGGTCAGAACTGGGCTGATCCAAAACCAGGAGCCAGTCACTTCTTTCCTGTCTCCCACATGGGTGCAGGGGCAAAAGGACTTGGGCCACCCTCTGCTGCTTTCCCAGGCCAGGTAAGAAGTGGAGCAGTCAGGACTCAAACCAGCACCCATATGGAATACTGGAGTTGCAGGTGGAGGCTTAGCCTATTACAGCATGGTACCAGAATGGAGCATTCTGTTTTTCAAACAGAGCTTTAATATGCTCTGTTCTTAATGAAAAAGGTAGACAAAATTATGGTACTAATTATTCAGTACCATAATTAATGTATTTGAAAAGTAGAGATACAGAAAAAAAGGGAAAAACAGAGGTCTTCCATCAACTGGTTTACTACCCAAATGGGAACAGTTGGGGATTTGCTAATCCTTCACCTTCAAGCACTAGCAACTTATATGGGTACCGGATCAAGTCCCGGCTGTTCCATTTCCCATCTAGCTCCATGCTTAAGACCTGGGGAAACAGTGGAGGATGGCCCAAGTTCATGGGACTGAGTAGGAGATCAGGAATAAGCTCTTGCAGGGCTCCTGGCTTTGGATTGACTCAGCTCTGGCCATTACAGTCCTTTGGGGAGTGAAGCCACAGACAGAAGAGCCTTCCTTCTGTCTCCTTCTCTCTCTCTGGAAACCTGCCTTTCCAATAAAAATAAATAAATCATTAAAAATAAACAAATAAATAATCATTTTAAAAGGTATAAATAAACATTTTTATTTCTAAATAATTGGCCTCACCTACTTCATTATATAGAAAACTAACCAATGTACCAACAGCAAGGTATTTTAGTTGATTATATTAGTTATTCTGAGTTACTGTGGCAAAGCTAAGAGTAAGAATTTGAGTCAGGTGGCTCCTCATCAGGACACTAAGGAGTCCAGCTGTGCACTACGCCGGGGCTCAGGGCCTTACCGTGAAGATCTCATCATACATCAACACTACTTTCTCCTTCAGGGGTTTCTTGGATGCAGAAGACTTCCGGAGCAAACCTCCCCGTTTCTCCACCTGTGCCATAGTCAGAGGATCTGGGAGAAGAAAAGCCACATTTTACAGCAGTAAAAAGACTCCTATGCCATACTATAATGATGGATACATATCATATGCCCAGACCTACATAATAGCATACCAGGCATGAATCTGGATGTTAACCATGAACTCTAAGGTGTACGCAAATATAGGTTCATCAATTATAACAAACACCACTGTGGAGGGGGGAATGTTTTTTTTTAATGGTTTACTTATTTTTATTGTAAATTCAGATATATATATAGAAAGGAGGAGAGAAAGAGAGGAAGATCTTCCATCTGTTGATTCACTTCCCAAGTGACTGCAATGACCGGAGCTGCACCAATCTGAAGCCAGGAACCAGGAACCTCTTCTGGGTCTGCCACTTGGGTGCAGTGTGCCAAGGCTTTGGACCATCCTCAACTGTTTTCCCAGGCCACAAGCAGGGAGCTGGATGGGAAGCGGAGCTTCCAGGATTAGAGCCAGCACCCATACGGGATCCTGGCGTGTTCAACACAAAGACCTTTAGCCACTAGGCCACCACACCGGGCCCGGGAGGACTGTTAATGGGGGATATTATGGATGTACACTGTGATTTCTCTGTGTCTTTCTCTCAATTTTACTGTGAACTTAAAAAAGCTCAGAAAAAAAAAAGGCTCCAAGAAAGAAAAGAAAACCTCAGTCACTGTCAGAACGCTCTCCTAGATGCTGGAAAGTCAAATGAAACATTTCTCAACAGGAAATTCTTCCAGGAAGGAGAAATGATAAAGAACCAAGCCATAGATCTTGTACATCTGCCAAGATTCCTCTGCTGACCTGGTAACATCAAGGTTTAAATCATCACTAGACTAACAGCACAACACGTTTTATATCCTTTAGAAATGTGCTGGTGGGCAAGGCTTAAAGCAGATCCAAAACCAAGCAGGAACATGTAACTGGCTCCATCAGTAATGGGCCTGGCTGGATAGTTGAGGCTGATGGAAGGCAGGAGGGCAGCTGCTGAGCACACACTGCCCGCAGACAGATGGTGAAGTTCAATTTCAAATATTGATCGAGCCGAGGACCATTAAGGCAGGAAGTGTGCTGCAGACTGATGTGCCCCATTGATTTCCCCAAAGTAAGCAGGTCTTCGTCACCACAAACTACTTGGCCTTCACTGCCTTATAAATCACACTGCACTTGACTGTCTCCACCAATTCTGGAAAGAGACTCAGGGCAGAAAATAGCAGTGAAGCGCCCCAAAGTTAAATTCTACTTTAAAATAACTGAATATAAATTGCTGCTTTCAAATATAACTGTATATACTTGTAACATTACTGCAGATCAAACTTCAGGATTTTTCTTAATTCTTTACAGAAACAATTCCATGAATCATGCTCAAACATCCCTATCTTAGGAAACATAGTTTCAAATTTTCTTTTAACTTGAAACTCCACAGGAATCCACTATGAATGTATACATATTTTCTCACCTCTCAGATTATTCCTATTGTTAAGTTTCTCTCTTTCTTCAACCTAACCTGCAGTTCTGAAACATAATTGAGACATGCACACACACACACCACCCACCTCAATCCTATCACTGTGAAAGAACAGGTTAAGCTACAGCCTATGATGATGGCATCCCATACTGGTACCAGTTTGAGTCCTGGCCGCTCCAATTCCAATCCAGCTCCCAGGAAAAGCATGGAAGATGGCCCACGTACTTGGGCCCCTGAAACACACCCAGGAGACTGAGATGGAGTTCCCCTAGGCCACTGCAGCCATTGGGGAAATAAACCAGTGGGAAAGAAAGTTATCTCTCTCTCTCCTACTCTCCTTCTCTCCCTTCCTCCCTCATTGCCTTTCTATCTAACTCTGCCTTTCAAATAAATAAAATAAATCTTACAAAGGGTGAGGGGGAAGCAATGGATTTTGGATAAGCTTGATTTTACTTCCAGAGAAATTCAAAACAAATTTTTGTCCAATGATTTTTTGAAAACACATACTCTCTTTCAAGTCAAAGCTGTGTTTAATTTAGACATACACCCAGTATCACAGACTCTCAGGCAATAACTCCTCTAACTTGTAACCAAAAATCATGCATCTTTGAGTAAATATCAAAGCACAAAAAATTCCCTCTGCTAGACAGCAAGCACACTGATGACATCTTCCACTTGTTCTATAAGTGTGGGGCTCATGTAAACGCTCAGCATTTGTTGTTGGGTCACCGATTCTGAAATAGGGAGGGGAGAAGGGAAACTTCTCCCTGAATCTTCCTAAGTTTACTCTAAAACTTCACTTAAGATCTACCTCCAGGGCCCGGCACAGGGGCCTAGTGGCTCAATTTCTTGCCTTGCATACACCAGGATCCCATTTGGGCGCCAGTTCTAATCCCACCAGCTCCACTTTCCATCCAGCTCCCTGCTTGAGGCCTGTGAGAACAGTCGAGGACGGCCCAAAGCCTTGGGATCCTGCACCCACATGGGAGACCTGGAGGAGGTTCCTGGCTCCTGGCTTTGGATTGGTGCAGACCAGCCGTTGTGGTAACTTGGAGCGTGAATCATCAGACGGAAGATATTCTCTGTCTCTCCTCCTCTCTGTGTATCTGACTTTCCAATAAAAATAAATAAATCTTAAAAAAAAAAAAAAAAGACCTACCTCCATGAGCTCTCATTGTGTTCTCAAATTCTACTAAAAAAAAATCATAACAAAAACAGAGAAGACTCTTTTGGGACAATTTACATTATATTGATCATGACTTTATTTTAAAGCATGAATTACAAGCCTCCATTCAAAATATTTCTGTGTCTCTTAAATAGGTTGTCAAGAGGAAAATGTCCTTATCTGGGGAAAATAAACTGAAAATCAAGAGCACCCTACTAAAACAAATCCGAAGCAATGCAATTCTACAGTCCTCTGCTCTATCAGCTGAGCTATTGAAGGGAATAGCAATGCAATTCTAACCTTAGGCAATATAGATATGTGACTGGCTTCAATCAGTTGATCAGTATAAACAAGGGGAGCCACACATTCCATGAAAAGCACATGTTTACGAACAACTTCTCAGAGGATTTATAATTGGGTTACAGCTAATCAATGTGCACCCAAAGTCTCATAAATATACTTTCTCCACTTCAGAATCAATACTTTCTAATAAACAGGGAATAGGAGGAGAAAGCAATTCCAATCCAAACTCCTAAATTTTCAAAGAAACCAAATTATTTTCATCGCACTCCTTCCATCTGGAGTAGAGGAAAATTCAGGCAAGGGCCTCAACTCGTTACTCTTTGTCATCAGCTGGCAAGTAGAACTGCCCAAGCTGCCTGAAACACACAAGCTGACCTCCAGTCTCTTCCTCTCACCAGCTCTCTGTCCAAGAGGTACAAGAGAGTTTCAAGAACCCAGAGGAAGGGGAGAAATAACACAAGTTTTCCTTGGGAATTCAGTAATTAAAGCCAGTCTTTGTGAATTCTAAAGTAAAGTATCAGGGCAGGCTCTGACTGTGCGATTCAGGTGAGGTCAGACTGCCTGGACCGAGTCCTAGCTCTTCCGCTTATGAGCCAGCTTCCTACTAATGGGCACACTTCAGAAGGTTCTAGTTCTTGGCCCCTTGGCATCATTACAAGATGTGAGAATTCAGTTTCTGGCTCCCTAAGCCTGGTCCAGTCCTGGCTACAGCAAACATCTGGAGAGTAAATCAGCAACGAAGACTTTGTCTCTTTCCCTCCATGTGTGTCTGCTTTTCAAATGAAACATAAAAATTGTTCTTAAAAAAGGAAGTAAAGGGCCCAGTGCGATGGCCTAGCGGCTAAAGTCCTCGCCTTGAGCGCACCAGGATCCCACATGGTCACCGGTTCTAGTGCCGGCAGCCCCACTTCCCATCCAGCTCCCTGCTTGAGGCCTGGGAGAGCAGTTGAGGATGGCCCAAAGCCTTGGGACCCTGCACCAGTGTCGGAGACCTGGAAGAAGTTCCTGGCTCCTGGCTTCAGATTGGCACAGCACTGGCTGTTGCGCTCACTTGGGGAGTGAATCATCAGACAGAAGATCTTCCTCTCTGTCTCTCCTCTCTGTATATCTGACTTTGCAATAAAAATGAATAAAATATTTTTTAAAAAAAAAGTAAGTAAAGCTGGGGTCAGTACCATGGAGTAGTAGGCTAGGCATTCACCTTCAGTGGAAGCATCCCAGTGGGGTGCCAGTTCGTGTCACAGCTTTTCCATTTCCCACCCAGCTCACTCCTTACAGCCTGGGAAAGCAAGGATGATGCTCCAAAGCCCTGAAACCCTATACACCCATATGGGAGATCCAGAAGAAGCTCCTGGCTCCCAGCTTCAGATTACCACAGCTCTGATAATTGTGGCCATCTGAGAAGTCAAATAGTGGATGGAAAACCTCTCTCTCTGTCTTTCCTTCTCTCTGTAACTTTGCCTTTTAAATTTAGAAAAAAAAAAAAAAGTCTTACAAAAAAAAAGCTTACACAGTGAAAACTTCAGTACATCAGTATGTAACACTATGTTCACATCCTGCCAGCACCTTTTCCCGCTTCTACAACCCTCCCCACTATAGAGAACAGGCACAAACGACCCAAGGGGCTGCCAGACACACATGGAACCGCAAGAGCTGAGACTAGAACCTAGGACTCCCAGCCACAAGCGAGCAGGGACACTGTGCTGCTCAGTTTCTTCACAAATAGAACAAAAGGTCTGGACTAGACTATGATTTAAGGCAAACTTTCAATACTAACTTCACCCGTTATCAAGCTTAGATGTCGCTTCAAACACCTTCAATTAAACAGCGAATCAATGGAGCTTCTATTTCTAAATTTCAGCAACTGCTGGCCCCATGACCAGGAGTGCAAATTCTCTTTGAACAATTCAAGTCATAAACCACTTTCTGTTTTCACTTATTTACTGAATAGGAGAACAACAGAGGGTGATCTTCAACCACTAGCTTACTTCCCAAATCTCTGTTACAGCCAGGATGGGACCAGATCCAAGCCAGGAGCCAGAAATTCTATCTGGGTCTCCCACTGAGTGACAAGGGCCCAAGAACTTGAACCATCATGCTGTCTCCTGGGGTGCACAATAAAAGGAAGGTGGACACAAAGCAGAGTACCCAGAACTCAAACCAAGCATTCCACAATGGAAGCAGGCATCCCATGCAGCAATATGACATGCTGGGACACAACACCTACTCCATCAAGCAACATTAAAGATTTAGATCTTAAAGCAATCTAGCTATACGGTTCTTTTTTTTTTTTTTAAGAGTTATTTGTTTTTATTGGAAAGGCAGATTTACAGAGAGAAGGAGAGACAGAGAGGAAGATCTTCCATCTGCTGGTTCACTCCCCAACTAGCTGCAACGGCCAGAGCTGTGCTGATCTGAAGACAGGAACTAGGAGCTTCTTCTAGGTCTCCCGAGCGCAGTCCCAAGGCTTTCAGCTATCCTCGACTGCTTTCCCCACAAGCAGGGAGCTGGATGGGAAGTGGAGCAGCTGGAAAACGAACCAGCACTCATACAGGATCCCAGGCGTGCAAGGAGAGGACTTTAGACACTAGGCTATAGTGCTGTGCCCAACATGTTTTCTTAAATTCACATTACTTTGTATCCATTAATGATGAAGTAACTAGGACCCGGAGCAATAGCTTAATGGTTAAAGTCCTCACCTTGAATGCCACCAGGGATCCCATGTGGGTGCCAGTTCTAATCCCAGCAGCCACGCTTCCCATCCAGCTCCCTGCTTGTGGCCTGGGATAGCACTTGAAGTCGGCCCAAAGCCTCTGGACCCTGCACCCATGTGGGAGACCCAGAAGAAGCTCCTGGATCCTGGCTTCGGATTGGCTCAGCTCCAGCCATTGCAGCTATTTGGGCAGTGAATCATCAGACGGAAGATCTTCCTCTCTGTCTCTCCTCCTCTCTGTATATCTGACTTTCCAATAAAAATAAATAAATCTTTAAAAAAAAAAAAACTAAAGCCAAATACATATGTTCATATAGAGGAACTGTATAATGGAGATTAGCATGCTGACAAGTAAAGATAACTGCAACATGCAACTCTGTTTTCTATAAAAGACGGGCTCCCAATGAAGGTGTTAAATATATCATGACAACTGGACGCTGGACTTTCTACCATTCTCTATACCTACAATGTCATGCTACACTTACATAGCAGAATGATGAACTTGTGACTGTTGTTGAAGGACTAAACCAATGCAATATCATAAGGGAAAACAGTGGCGGGGGAGTGGGTACGGGAAGGGTGAAAAGGGAAATCTCCGAGCCTATTGAAGTACATCGTGAAAAATTAAAATTTATTTAAAAAACTGAAGCCAAATTCATTCAATGCCCAATATGTAAAGAAAATGATTACATTAACTAATGTTCATTATGTTACTTAGTTCCCACACAGTGCCTGGCAAATCTAGCACTGGAAAATCAGTTTAATAGAAACTTAATCTAATTTCTCAAGCTACACATCAAAAATCTCAGAGTTTAGTAGTACCAACCCTTATATATTGGCTCTATACACATACTCTCTGCATTCTCTGTTCCTCAGTTTGCCAGTCTGTAAAAAGAAATCACAAGACAATTCTCTGTGTGCTTCCAGATTTAACAGTCCTGGGTTATACAGTCACCATAATAATGGACTGATAACCAAGTAGATTGAGGCAGACTCAAAAACACTACTGTGTGGGTCTGGCACTTTGGCTCAATGGCTAAATCTTCGCCTTGTACATGCTGGGATCCAATTCCAACCCAACACCCTGATAATGTACCTGGGAAAGCAGAAGATGGCACAAGTGCTTGGGCTCCTGCAGCCAAGTGGAGGCCCAGAAAGAATTCCTGTATCCTGGCTTCAACCTGACTCAGCCCCAGCCATCACAGTCATTTGGAAAGTGAACAGCAGATGGAAGCTATTTTTCTCTTTCTTTCTTTCTCTCGCCCATCTACCCACCCACCCATTCCTCTGTAACTCTGCCTTTCAAATCAATTTTTTAAAAAAGGGATAAAACTATATGCTGCATGTAAGTTATTCCTTAATCCAACAATACACACAATGGGACCAGCATCATGGTACATCAGGTTAAGGTATTGCCTACAATACTGGCATGCCATTTGAGTACCAGTTCAAGTCCCAAATCTTCCACTTCCAATTTGGATCCCTGATACAGACCTGGGAAAGCAACAGAGTAAGGCCCAGAGTGTCTGGGCCCTCTACACAGGCAGAAGATATGGATGGAGTTACAGGCTCCTGGCTTTGGCCTGGCCCAGTCCTAGCTATTGTGACCATTTGCAGAGTGAATAAGTAGATGAAAAATCAATCAATTTCTCTCTCTCCCTCTCTCTGTGTAACTCTGCCTTTCAAACAAACCCCCCCTCTTTTTTTAAGAGGATGTGAAAAATAAACGGCACACATGCAGAACACCAAAAAATTAACACATGCTTAGTACTATGTACCAAGCATTGTTGTAAGTACTTTATACACATTAATTTACTTTACTTTCATAACAATCCACTGGTTCAGAAAATACATATAAGGTAACTAAAATGAGAAGGGGTTAAAAAAAACTGTTTTAACTTGTCCATGAAAGTAGAGGAGGCACAGCCAGGCAAGCTAATATCAGAGTTCCCTCTCTTAGCCCTTATGTCATAGTGTGTCTCAAAAAGTAGAGGACTAGGGGGCCGGGACAGTGGCACAGTACCCTGAAACTCCACTGTGCAGTCATGGCATCCCATACGCATGCTGTTTATTGCCCAGGCTTCTTCACATTCGATCCAGCTCTCTACTGGTGGCCTGGGAGAGCAGCAGAGGTTTATGTGGGTCCGTGGGTCCCTGCATTCACTTGGGAAAGACTAGGAGGAAGCTACTGGCTCCCAGCTTCAGATCAGCTCAACTCTGACCACCATGACCATTTGGAGGTAGACCAGCAGATTGAAGACTTTCTTCTCTTTTCTCTCTGCAAAAATGAATTTCAGGGGCCCAGCACGATAGCACAGCTGTTAAGGACCTTGCCTTGAACGTGCCAGGATCTCATATAGCCACTGGTTCTAATTCCGGCAGCCTCACTTCCCATCTAGCTCCCTGCTTGTGGCCTGGGAAAGCAGTAGAGGATGGCCCAAAACATTGGAACCCTGCACCCACGTGGGAGACCTGAAGAGATTCCTGGCTCCTGGCTTCGGCTCGGCGCAGCACCGGCTGTTGTGGCCACTTGGGGAATGAATCATCGAATGGAAGATCTTCCTCTCTGTCTCATCTCTCTGTACATCTGCCTTTCCAATAAAAATAAATAAATCTTTTTTTAAAATGACTTTCAGAGAAAAATGATTGAGTCTTTTTTAAAAAATACATAATTTTTTTTAAAGTAGAGGACTGGGGGTTGGTGCCATGGCACAAGAGGTTAATCCACTGCTTGCAATCAATGCCAGCATGCCATCTGGGTGCCAGTTTGAGTTGCAGCTACTCCAGTTTTAACCGAGCTCCATGTTAACAACCTGAAAACTCAGTGGAAGACAGCTGCACCCACATTGACAATCCAGAAGATGCTCCTGGTTCCTGACTTCAGACTGGCTGATATCCAGCCATTGCTGCCATTTTGGAAATGAACTAGCAGACAGAAGATCCCTCTCTCTGTCTCTTCTCTCTCTGTAACACTGTCTTTCAAATAAAAATAACTAAGTAAGTAAATTAAAACCAAAAAGTAAAGGACTGACCAGAAGTAGGATAATCTACACAAACAAGGATGAAGACCTGCAAAGATGCAGTGAAGAAATTCCAGGTGAGTGAGCAGGAACTATATATCCACTGACCTCGTTGAACAACCTGCAGAGTGTCCACGGATCTTGAGTTGCGTCACCTCAGCTTGTCTGTGGGTGAAGGTATCACAGCAGAAAGTAGAAGGCAACTGCCTGATGTAAGTATCTATATATGAAGACAGATGATGGAAAAGTGAAACAGAGGGATAGACAAAGGCACGGAATGGTGAAAAAACAAAAATGGAAGTGGCCCATTACTGGCTAAAGTCCTTGCCTTGCAGACACCAGGATACCATATGGGAACTGGTTCGTGTCCTAGGGACCCCACTTCCCATCCAGCTCCCAGCCTGTGGCCTGGGAAAGCAGTTAAGAATGGCCCAAAGCCATGAGACCCTGCACCCACTTGGGAGACCAGGAAGAAGCTCCTGGCTCCTGGCTCCTGGCTCCGGATTAGCTCAGCTCCAGCTGTTGCAGCCACCTGGGGAGTGAATCAACAGACAGAAAATCTTCCTCTCTGTTTATTTGACTTTCCAATTGAAAAAGAAAAAACAAAAAAAAAAAAACAGATAAATCGTGGGCCCGGCACAGTAACCTAGTGGTTAAAGGCCTCGCTTGCACGCACAGGGATCCTCCCATGTGGATGCCAGTTCTACTCCGGCAGCCCCAGGTCCCATCCAGCTCCCTGCTTGTAGCCTGGAGAAGCAGTCGAGGATGGCCCAAAGCCTTGGGACCCTGCACCCATGTGGAAGACCAGGAAGCAACTCCAGGCTCCCGGCTTCGGATTGGCTCAACTCCAGCCGTTGTGCTCACTTGGGGAGTGAACCATCAGACAGAAGATCTTCCTCTGACTCTCCTCCTCTCTGTATATCCGCCTTTCCAATAAAAATAAATAAATATTTAAAAATATTTATTTTAAAAATGGAAGGGAAACAGGAGAAGAATCTGTCAAGTTGACAGACATATCCACATGGCAATTTTTTTTAAGTTTATAAAACAGTAAAATCAACTAGAGGATGTAAATCATACTATCATAATTAAGACTAACAGGTACTCTGGGAGGGCCCGATGCAGTAGTCTGGTGGCTAAATCTTCACCTTGCATACACCTTGGGCACCAGTTCGTATCCCAGCTGCTCCATTTCTCATTCAACTCCCTGCTTATGGCCTGGGAAAGCAGTAGAGGATGGCCCAAAGCTTTGGGACCCTGCACCTGCATAGAAGCCTGGAAGAGCTCCAAGCTCCTGGCTTTGGATTGGTGCAGCTCTTGCCACTGCAGTTGCTTGGAGAGTGAACCAGTGGATAGAAGATCTTTCCATCTCTCCTCTCTGTAAATCTGACTTTCCAATAAAAATAAATAAATCTTTTCAAAAAGAAGAAAAGACTAGGGGTTGATGCTTTCAACCATCACCCCAGGTCTGCGTTCTCCACTTGTTTATTTTGCCTCCCAGAGGACGCTTAATGGAAGTAGTACCGAGATCTACTGAGCGCAGGCCAAAGACACTACTCAGCAGCACCTTCCAAAGCACAGAACAGCCCCCACAATAACAACAACAACAACAAATCTTCACGGCCTGGCGCGGTGGTGCAGTGGCTAAGGTCCTCGCCTTGCACGCCCGGGATCCCATATGGACGCCGGTTCTAATCCCGGCAGCTCCGCTTCCCGTCCAGCTCCCTGCCTGTGGCCTGGGAAAGCAGTCGAGGACGGCCCAAAGCTTTGGGAACCTGCACCCACGTGGGAGACCCGGAAGAGGCTCCTGGCTTCGGATCGGCATAGCATCGGCCATTGCGCTCACTTGGGGAGTGAATCATTGGATGGAAGATCTTCCTCTCTGTCTCTCCTCTCTGTATATCCGCCTTTCCAATAAAAAAATAATAAAAATAAATCTTTAAAAAAAAAAAAATCTTCAGGGGACCCTGCCAATAGTGAGGGGCTTGAAAAGCTAGGCCCCACGTGATTCTAATGCCCATTCAAGTTTGAGAAGTACTAATACAAGTTTTCAACCAGGCTTTGAAAGGAAAGGAGCGTCCAAACAGAGAGAATATTGAGATAATGAAGGAAAGTTTGATGGATTTTACCAAAGAGACTAGACAAGCTCTGTTTCCCAAATCTCCTATTCCCTACATGAACCTATCCCTGGACTCCCATCCCTCCGGGATCTGAACCCCCACCAGCCCATCTTTAAAGGAAGATCACTACCAGACACACTCACTGTATTAATCCACGATGCTTAGGGAAAGAGATGAAGATCTTACGCAGCTCTCTGCTTGGGAGTGTGGCTGAGCTACATATTACATTTGGCCAAGAGCCACTCACCCAATACCTAAAATGAGGCAACAAGTTCCTACCAAGCCAGAAATGGCCTCCTGCTCTGACTCTCCAAAAAAATCTCCCAACTCTCCTAGAGTCACCTAGATATGTTTCAGAAGCGAAAATCTTTAGGCAGAAGTTTCCCATTCCCTAAATATTTTTTGTAAAATTCTCTCACACTCCCGACAGGTAAACATCAACACTCTAAACATCTAGAGAAAGCAGGGTTTTTCACCAATTCTTCATTGCTAAAGCTAATATGCTACCATTTTTCCTGTGATAAATGTTCCTTTCAGAAAGCCCTGGGCACACAGCTCACGTGATGAAGCACATCCTACCATCCCACACGGGATCCTGAGAATCCCCCAGTCCTATCCCACAGAGCAGCTGTGACACCAGCATAGAACCCTGTCCACTTCAACGCATCCTTCCTGCTAGTCATGCTGAGTCTTTAATTATTTCCACAATGAAAACAGAGTGTGGCCTGCATCCATGAAGTCCCCTCTCAGAACCCCCTTCATGGACAGCTCCAGGGCAGATTACAGTGCCCTGGTCCCATCATTTTCCTTCTTTGATCTCCTACCGATGAAATTCATCAACCATTCCTCCTTGTTTCCAGAGTGCAGCCTCCCACCAGGGGTGGTAAACAGTCACACCCAACACTCCAAGGTTCTCCCTTATAGACCTGGCTCTGTTCTCAGCACAAAGCAGAGCCAGGACCTGAACACAAGTTTCCCAGATGGCTAACTGCTGCCCCAACTGCCCACCCCGACCCTGCACTTCAAAGTGGAAGTAACACATGGATTTTCCGAAGACTAGCAACAAGTGCCAAAACCACAGATTTCCCAATCCCTGCGTTACCAGTCAGTATACGCTAGCACAGATGAGGAGTTTGAGAGATAAGAGTTCAACCCAGACCCAGCAAATCTGCCTAATTTCACACACTACTAATGTAGGTAAGAGGTTTACACAAACATCATCACCTCAGGTTTCCAATCACATGCAACACACATTCGCCCCTTCACAAAGAGGAACCACCAACTCAACATTACAAGATTCTAGGAAATCTCATAGAAAAATCCCATTTTCCTGACACCTCCAAGAATGAAAACTCACTGCCAAACACGCTTCTCCTCAAGCAAAAGCCACCTGACAATGGGCCCTGTTCACCTCCTGCTCAAACCACAGCCTTCCTCACGCAGCATGTCATCCTAATCCCTCATACCTTCTGGTTCCTCTCTTGTCAAACCATGCAAGCCTCGGGAACACCACCTGGGTGTAAAAATGAAAGTATAAGACAAACCACCCTAACAGTATCAAGGGTTACCCAAAAGATAACTGCAGCCATGCAAGATAAATTGATGTCCTGCTACTTTAATAACTCCCATTTAGGCAGGTTCTACAACACAAACACTGTGAAAAATAAAAACTGCCCAAAAATGATGTTACAGGCCCTGCCTTCAGAAGTTCACTAGTAAGCAGAAGTGCATATTTTGATTACTCTGTATAACAGAGCAAAAATTTTTCTCAGGATATTTTCATCTATGCTGCCACTTGCTCTAACCGACCGCCAAGGCACTAAGCTCATCAGGCCCCATCACTTCCACTGTGACCTGCTACCCCATCTGTACATCCCACAGGGAACTTGATCTCCGCCTACCAGACTACCGACCGTATATCCTTCCACAGTCACCCAATCTTTCCAAATCTGCCCTACTTTTTCTAACCCACATCCTGGTCAGGAAAACCCCAATCTCCTGAATAATAAATTTTAGCCCACTCTTCTTTTCTTATATGTTTTTAAGATTTTATTTTATTTTTATTGGAAAGTCAGATATACAGAGAGGAAGAGAGACAAAGATCGTCTGTCCATTGATTCACGCTCCAAGCAACCGCCGGAGCTGTACCAATCCGAAGCCAAGAGCCCAGGGCCCCTTCTGAGTCTCCCATGCAAGTGCAGGGTCTCAACGTTTGGGTCACCCATGATTGCCTTGCCAGGTCACAAGCAGGGAGGTGGATGAGACGTGGAGCTGCCAGGTTTAGAACCAGCACCCACATGGGATCCCTACACACACAAGGCAAGGACTTTAGCTACTAAGCTACTGCGTCAGGGCCAGCCTACTCTCTTCTTAAACCTTTGCAAAACTGTGTTGCAGCTGATGTACTTTATTTTTTTTTCTTTAATTAAAGATTTATTTTACTTTTATTGAAAAGGCAGATATACAGAGAAGAGAAGAGACAGAAAGGAAGAAGATCTTCCATCCATTGATTCACTCCCCAAGTGACCGCAACAGATGGTGCTGAGCCAATCTGAAGCCAGGAACCAGGAACTTCTTCCTGGTATCCCACACGGATGCAGGGTCCCAAAGCTTTGGGCCATCCTCAACTGCTTTCTCAGGCCACAAGCAGGGAGCTGGATGGGAAGTGGAGCAGCCAGGACTAAAACCGGCGCCCATAAGGGACCCCGGCGTGTTCAAGACAAGGACATTAGGCCGCTAGGCCACAACACTGGGCCCAGCTGATATACTTTAAATACCTACTCCCAGAACCAGTGCACTGGCTCAAATAGCTAATTCTCTACCTCCAAACACTTGGTTCACATCCCAGCTGCTCAACTTTCCATCCTGCTCTCCGCTTGTGCCCTGGGAAAGTAGCAGAGGGTGGCCCAAAGCCTTAGGACCCTGCACTTGAGTGGAAATCCCAGGGGAAGCTCCTGGATATGATGCACTAAGCTCCAGCCATTTTTGGTCACTTAAGTAGTCAACCAGCAGATCAAGATCTCCCCTTCTCTCCATAAATCTGCTTTTCCAAGGAAAATAATACTTAAAAAAAAATTCTGCTCCTCTCCGTTCTCATCACATCTTATTTAGGCCTTCAACCAACTGCAACTTTAATTGCTTGGCAGCCTCATGCTTCATGACTTCAATCCATACTTCTGCCACTCCTTAAGAAAGACTTTAATAGTTCCTACCTTTCCATTCAGTCTTGGGCAATTTCCTAATCACAGACTGTTATAGACAAATTTGTAACACTTGAACATCATGATGTATTTTTTTTTAATATTCATTTCAGGGCCGGGCACAATGGCCTAGTAGCTAAGTCGTCACATGCACTGGGATCCCATATGGATACAAGTTTCAGTGTCCCAGGCAGCTCCACTTCCCATCCAGCTCCCTGCTTGCGGTCTGAGAAAGCAGTCAAGGATGGAACAAAGCCTTGGGACCCTGCACTGCACTGGAAGACCTGGAAGAAGCTCCTGGCTCCTGGCTTTGGATTGGCACAGCTCCAGCCACTGTAGCCACTTGCAGAGTGAGCCAGCCGACAGAAGAATTTATTCTCTGTCTTTCCTCCTCTCTGTAAATTCTGACTTTCCAATAAAAATAAATAAATTTAAATAGACACTTTTCTTTAAAAAAAGAGTTACAGAGAGATATCTTCTATCCATTGGTTCATTCCGCATGTGACTATGGTCAGGGCTGGGTCAGACCAAAATCAGGAACTTCTTCCAGCATCCCACATGGGCACAGGAACCCAAAGATTTGGGCTATCCTCCATCACTTTCTCAGGAGCATTTGCAGGAAACAGAATGGGAAGTGAGGCAGCCTGGATTTGAACTGGAACCCACTTGACAGGCTAGCATCACAGGTAGCAGCTTTATCTCTGGTAGGCCACAATGCCAGCCTGTATCACGTTCTTTTTGCCCCTCACATTTTCACCATGCCAAAAAATGCTGCCATGACTAGAATGCCTTTTTAACTTGTGCAAGCTCCTGCTCAGCCTTCAATACCCAACTTAAGTATTCCCACGCTGCTAAAATGTGCCTGCCTCTCCCAGGCATACTCCTCCCACACAACATACAGATCATTTGGATCCTAACACAAAGCACTATACTAGTTCACTCAAGCATCTCTCTGATGCCCTTGAGGAAGGCTGTTCATGTTTCTGACCTGCAGTTTCACAGTAATTGCGTAAGAAAAGTGTGCTAAGGGGCTGGCATGCTGGCTAAACAGGCCAATCCTCCACCTGCAGTGCCAGCACCCCATGTGGGCACTGCTTCTAGTCCCAGCTGGTCACTTCTGATCCAGCTCCCTGTTTATGATCAGAGGAAGCAATGAAGAATGGTCCAAATGCTTGGGACACTACACCCACCGGAGAGACCTGAAAAAAAAATCTGACTCCCGGTTTTACACTGGCTCAACTCTGGCTTTTGCGGCCATTTGAGGAGTAAACCAACAAGTTGGAGATGTCTTTCTCCTTTCTCTCAGTCTCCTCTCTGTAAACCTGTCTTTCAACTAAAACTAAATAGATTTTTTTTAATGTGTTGAATAAACAGTTCTCTTCCAGATATCCTTGCTCAATTTGCTATTTGCTCATTTCTCCCTATTTTTATCTACTCCAAAACTGCAAATGTTTACAACTGCTTTGGGGATTTCAAATTTGTTTACTTTTTTTTTTAAGATTTATTTATTTATTGCAAAGTCAGATATACAGATAGGAGCAGAGACAGAGAGAAAGATCTTCCGTCCGATGATTCACTCTCCAAGTGACAGCAACAGCCAATGCTATGCCGATCCCAAGCCAGGAGCCAGGAACTTCTTCCGGGTATCCCACAGGGGTACAGGGTCCCAAAGCTTTGTGCCATCCTCGACCGCTTTCCCAGGCCACAAGCAGGGAGCTAGATGGGAAGTAGAGCTGCCGGGATTAGAACCCGCGCCCATATGGGATCCTGGCGCGTTCAAGGCGAGGACTTCAGCCATTAGGCCACGCCACCAGGCCCACTTTTTTTTTTAAAGATTTATTTTTATTATTTTCTCATTGGAAAGGCGGATATACAGAGAGGAGAGACAGAGAGGAAGATCTTCCATCCGATGATTCACTCCCCAAGTGAGCGCAACGGTCGATGCTATGCCGATCCAAAGCCAGGAGCCTCTTCTGGGTCTCCCACACGGGTGCAGGGTCCCAAAGCCTTGGGCCGTCCTCTGCTGCTTTCCCGGGCCACAGGCAGGGAGCTGGAAAGGAAGCGGGGCTGCCGGGATTAGAACCGGCGCCCATATGGGATCCCGGGCGTGCTAGGCGAGGACCTTTAACCACTTGCGCCACCGCGCCGGGCCCCAGGCCCACTTTTTTAAGAATATATTTTTTTAATTGGAAAGGTAGATCAGATTTACAGAGAGAAGGGGAGATAGAGAGGAAGATCTTCCATTCACTAGGTCATTCCTCAGATGGCTACAACAGTCAGAGCTGAACTGATCTGAAGCCAGGAGCCAGGAGCTTCTTCCAGGTCTCCCAGGTGGGTGCAGCAACCCAAGCACTTGGGCCATCCTCGACTGCTTTTCCAGGCCACAAACAGGGAGCTGGATGGGAAGTGGAGCAGCTGGGACAGAAACTGGTACCCACATGGGATGCCAGTGTTTGAAGGTGGACAAGCAGCCCGTTGAGCCACCATGCTGGTCCCAAGATTAAGATGGCACTTGTTCACTGTCCAGGATGTTCCACCTCCAATTTTTTTCCTGTTAATATTCCAGGGAAAGGGGCAAAGGATGGCCCCACTGCTTGAGCCACTGCACCCACACAGGAGATCTTACAAAAGCTCCTGGCTTCTGCCTTCAGATCAGCCCAGCTCCAGCTGCTGTGGCCATTTGAGTAGTGAATTAAGGACTGAAACTCCTTCTTTCTCTCTCTCCTTCTCTCCATAACTCTGCCTTTCAAACAAATAAATCTAAAATATATATATTTAAAAGTTGAATGAAAGAATAAAAGACAATGTTTGAAATTTCAGTAGTGCCACTTGCATCTGTAGTAATCTTAAAGAGTTCCTGTTCAGTCAAAATGAGAACTGTCCCTACTAGGAGGCACCGCCGCCCTTTCCCAGCTTTGATTCATCAGCTAGTCCAAAAGTAGCCTTCACAGAGAAATGACTGTGCCCACACAGCCAACGGAAGACACCTGCAAAAATAATTCCAATTATATCTGGGCTACGAGCAGGAACACTCACCCTATCTATTTGCTCTGCTTTACCAAGCTGCTGAAAGCTCAGGAGAGCAGAGTCGGCGCCCATAGAAACTTTCACTGGGAAAGGGCAAACAATTTTCCGAGTCCCGGGCCTCCTCAGCTCTCTTTCTACCCCCAGGGAACCAGTTCCGGCTCCTGCTCCTGCTCCTTCCCAACGCTTGCCCGGACATAGGTTCGTTTCCGGGCTGGCCCCAAGAACGTAGTTTCACTCACTCGGTGTGACCGGTGGCCTGAAGTGCGATAGTTGGGGGGCCCTCCCCGGCCACCTGCAGGCTTAGGACAAGCCCTGCCTTCCTGCGGCCCCTCCTCGCAGAGTTCTTGCCCCAAGCCCGCATCCTGGGGCAAGGAGCCACCTGTGAGGAGATGCTCCGCAGGCAGGCAGAGGGGTCGAGGTCAGCCCCGTGCTGGGGTCAGAGATCAGTGGCTCAGCTGCAGAGAGTCCCTGCAGGAACAGGGAAGAGGAAGGACAAGGCCGGCGCCGGGTGGTCCAGGGGACCGGCCGCTGGAGGAGCGACGCCCAGGCCGCCCCAGAGCCCAGCCCTCCCGGCCGCACGCCCACCCTCCACACCCCCGGGACCCCGGCGGTCCCGCGGCAGGCACAGGCCCCGCCCCCCAGAGCCGCCTCGGGGCCAAGGCCTAGTCTGGCCCGACCCGGGGGAGTCGGCCAGGTTTGAGGACTGGTACCAGCCAGCGCTGCTTACCGAGCCCCGACTCCTCCACGACGCGAACCCCTCCCGGGCCGCTCGCTCCCGAGGCCACCGGCGCCGCTGCCGCTCCGGGCTCACCGGCGCGCTCCCGACCTCCCCGACCCTTCCCCCGTACGCTGTGCCCGGCCGGGTCCTAGAGCCCGCCTAGCCCACGCCCGCTTCCTGAAGCAGGCGCAGACCACAATTCCCAGCAAGCATCGCAAAGACTACAACTCCCGAAAAGCATAGCGACAAAGACATTACAAAACAATCATTTTTAGATGTATAATTGGATAAATCTGGTAATAGCTTGCTCTTTTTTTGTTTTTGTTTTGTTTTGTTTTGTTTTGTTTTGTTTTGTTTTGTTTTTGGAAATACGGCCGACTATTTGAAGTCGACCATTCCACTTCTAGAAATAAATGTAAACCCTACAAACACTGGCAAACTTTGGAAAAACGTATATTTCTACATGCTTATTGCAACTTCGTAAATGAAAGCTGGCATGCAAACTCAACCGTATGCAAAGCAATGGGTGAAGTATTGTTAATTTGGCAGGTCACCTCCCAGCTCTTTTCTCATTCACAAATGGAGGGTAATGCCGACATATGCACTCTGCCATGCAGGTTCTGCCATATATTTCAATCCTTGTAATGGATTTGTGAAAGAGGTATATCACCATTGAGAAAAGAAAGATTCTGAGCGATTAAATGCCTTGTCTGATGTTCTAGAGTTGATGAGACACAGAGAAGCATTGGAAACCAGAACCATCATGAAAGAGCTCCTCACCCGGATCCCTGACACATTCTTTCCTAGTAGATTTCCTTTTACTTTTTACTTTCTTTTTTCTCAAGAGCAAAGACAGATCTTCCACCTGCTAGTTCATTCCCCAAATGTCTACAAGAGCTGCCAGATCCCTGTCACACATGTGGGATATCCTTGAGTTCCTGGCTCCAAATTTGTTTTTCCCAGCATCTCCCTCTCTCTCTCTCTCTCTCTCTCTCTCTCTCTCTTTCCCTCTCTCTCTCTTTCTCTCTCTCTCTCTTTCTTGCTTGCTCAATCTCTTGTTTCAAATTAATAAATAGACATATAATTGATACAAAATTGAAATAAGAGTGTGGTATAATAAGTTAAAGCTACCACATGCAGTGCCAAAATCTCAAGCTGAAATGCTAATTTGAGTCCTGGCTATTTTGTTTCCAGTCCAACTTAGAGCCAATGCATCTGGGAAGGCAGCAAATGGTGGTCTAAATACTTTGTTCCAGCTAGCTGAGAGGGAGGAATATAGAGCCAGGATATAGAGTTCCTGGCTGCTGCTCACTTGAGCTGGGACTGGCCCTGGCTCTGGCTGTTGTAAATATTTGGGGAGTTAAACTAATAGATGGAAGATACCTATCCTGTCTTCTCTGTCATTCTGCCTTGAAAATAAATCCTTTCTTAAAAGTTAAAATGGGGCCTGGCTAGATAAATCCTTGCCTCACACATGCCAGGATCCCATATGGGCACAAGTGTGCCCGGGGCCCATATAGGCGCTGGTTCATGTCCTATCTGCCCCACTTCACTGCCAATTCTCTGCTTATGTCCTGGGAAAGAGTCCAGGATGGCCCAAAGCCTTGGGAACTTGCACCTGCTTCAAAGACCCTGAAGAAGCTCCTGGTTCCTGGCTTCAGATCAGTTCAGCTCCAGCAGTTGCAGCCACTTGAGGAGTTAAACCAGCGAATGGAAGATCTTTTTCTGTGTTTCTCCTTCTCTCTGTAAATCTGTCTTTCCAACAAAGACAAATAAACCTTAACAAATGAAAATTAAAATGAAGATAGGCTATAAAGATGAAGAAAATCCAGTGGCAACTAGGATCCACATGAGGAAAAGCAACAGGCAGCAGGAAGATAACGCTTAGGTAACACTGAGACTGTCAGTGTGACATCCAGGTATAAAGATTTAGCAGACGTCTGAACACTCTGTTTTGGGACTCAGTGAGATGAACGCGCTGCCGGTGAACTTTTCTGAACTACTACTGTAGGAGCAATGGTTCCAAGACTAGAAGAGGGTAGTCTAGAAAAGAAGGTAATAGAAAAGAAGAACCCAAGATTGAATTGAGGTGTGGGGGGAAGAAACCCAGCATTTATAAGATGGCTGACAGAGACAAGCCATGGCAAACAAAACTCTGAAGATGATGCTGTATTTTTTAAAAGATGCATTTATTTATTTATTTTATTGGAATCCCAGATTTACAGAGAAAAAGATCTGTCGTGTACTGGTTCACCTCCCTCCCCAAGTGACCACAACGGGCTAAGCTCAGCTGATCTGAAGCCAGGGGCTTCTTCCTAGTCTCTCATGTGGGTACAGGGGTCCAGCGCTTTAGGCCATCCTTGACTACTGGCAGGGAGCTAAATGGGAAGTGGAGCAGCCAGAATTAGAACTGGCGCCCATATTTTAGCCACTAGGTTATTTCACCAGGCCTTATAAAGTTGTCTTTAAAAAAAAAAAAAGGAAAATCAGGGACTGTCATAGTGTATTAGGCCATGCTTCTGTCTGTAATGCTGGCGTCACTTATGGGTGTCAGTTCAAGTCCCAGCTGCTCCACTTCCCATCCAGCTCCCTGCCTGTGGCCTGGGAAGGCAGTGGAGGACGGCCCCAAGTCTCGGGAACCTGCTCCCATGTGTGAGACCCACAAGAAGCTCTTGGCTCCAGATTGGCTTAGCTCCAGCCATTGCGGTCATTCTCTCTATAAATCTGCCTGTCCTATAAAAATAAATAAATCCTTTCTAAAATTGTCTTTGAAGATTTCAGCAACAGTTACTTTGGGAAAATGATGGTTTGAGGAGTTATTGGAAAGAGAGAACAGCAGAGGATACAAGTGCAGAGGATTTTTGCAAGAAACTTAATTGAGGGCTAGCACTGTGACGCAGAAGGTTAAGCCACTACCTGCAGCAACGTCATCCCATGTGGGCATCAGGTTGTGTCCCAGCTACCCCACTTCCAATCCAGCGTCCTGCTAGTACACCTGGGAAAGCAGCAGCAGATGACCCAAGTGCTTGGGCCCCCGCACCCACATGGGAGACGTGATGGGGCTCCTGGCTTCGGCCTGACCCAGCCCTGCAGTAAACCAGCAGATGGAAGACTCCCTCTCTCTCACTATACCTTTCAGATAAATAAATAAGTATTTTAAAACAAAGAAAAAAACTTGACTGAAAGAGGAAAGGGGGTGGGAATGATGGGGTGGAGAAAGGAGAAATGAATTTCAAGACAGGCCAGGCAGGAGTGCGTTTCTGTGCTGACATGGAAGCCTGACCCCGCAGGAAAAGCTGCAGATCGTCAAGTTGCTGGGAAGCCAGGAGCCAGACTCGGCTCCTCAAGAGGACCTGGCCAGGGAGGGAGGGACGCCAGACCCCTGAGAGGGCCATGGTGGGCTCAGAGGAGCCATGCATATATACAAAGGGACTCAGTGCATCCAAAGTGTCTTTTCCTCTTACCCCCACCAGGAGACTGAATTGTGGAAGTGGTTGAGTGTATCCACCCTGGAGCAAGGTTGTGGTTGAAATCCCAACTCCGGGCCTGGCACAGTAGCCTAGCGGACTTTGGCTAAAGTCCTCACCTTGAATGCACCAGGATCCTGTATGGGTGTTGCTTCTAATTCCAGAAGCCCCACTTCCCATCCAGCTGCCTGCTTGTGGCCTGGGAAAGCAGTTTGAGGATAGCCCAAAGACTTGGGACCCTGCACCTGCATGAGAGACCTGGAGGAAGCTCCGGCTGTTGTGCTCACTTGGGGAGTGAATCAATGAATGGAAGATCTTCCTCTCTCTCTCTCTTCCTCTTTCTCTCTCTCTCTCTCCATATATATATATATATATATATCTGACTTTTGCAATAAAAGTAAATAAATCTATTAAAAATAATACTTTTTTTTTTTAAAGGAATCCCAACTCTGGCACTGAATACCTGTGTGACTATAGCCAAGTTTCTTACCCTCTCTATGCTTCATTTTTCTGTTTAGGGTACGAGAAAGCTGTTACAAACATGTTACGATTTTTTCACTCAATTGCCATCTCCACTAGAGGCTTTCTGTTTTGTTCAAGGCGTAGCACACAGCAAGAGTTCAATTAAAAAAAAAAGTGACTCAAAGAGACATTGAGGTGAGAGTAAGGTGGGTCGGGCCCTGGCCACTCGGCCCGGCGTGCAAGGTGCCTGGGCGCTGACACCCTTGGTTGTGCTGCAGGTCCCTCCCCCGCCAGCGCGTCGTGAAGGCGGGGCGTGAACCCACGCCACGGGGCGGGGTTGAGCACGCTCGGCCGCCCTCGCGCACCTCATCGACTGGGGACGGAAGTCTCACCCCAACTCTTGCCAACCTGGGGATCCGTGGCCCGAAGGCTGGAGCTCCCCCCACGGGGCTGGCAGCCAACATGAAGCGCGCAGGGACTCTGCGCTTACTTTCGGATCTGAGCAACTTCAGCGGCGCCGCCCGGCTTCGTGAGTTGCTGTCAGGGGACCCCGCGGTCCGAGTGCGCTGCAGCCCGGATGGCCGCCACCTGCTGCTATTGCGACCCCCGGGGGCCCCTGCGCCGCAGCTGCTGGTGGCCGCACGCGGAGCCGGTGCGGAGCTGGAGCGGGCCTGGCCCGTGGGCCAGGCCTCCCCACTGGACGCCTTCTTCCTGCCGGGACCCGCAGTCCCGGCGCTGGTCCTGGTGTGGGAGAGTGGCCTGGCCGAGGTGTGGGGTGCGGGTGTGGGGCCGGGCTGGCGGCTACTGCAGAGCACCGAGCTGTGTCCGGCTGGAGGAGCCCGCTTGGTGGCCGTGGCAGCGCCCCGAGGCCGCCTGGTATGGTGTGAGCAGCATCTGCCCGGCGCTGAGAACCAGCTGGGGCCTCCCATGGCCGCTTTCA